AGTGTAGAGTGTAGAGTGTAGAGTGTAGAGTGTAGAGTGTGAAGTGTCTCTTTAAGAATATTATTCCTCCTCTATCAGTTTGAAATACAAAGTTAAAGATTTCAATTAAAAGCTATACATACAAATTAAAGTTGAAACTTAAGATACAAATTTCAATTAAAGAATTAATTAATTTACAAACTTAATTTGTCAGAAATATCAATGGAACAGACCAAGTTGGAAAATGAAGATTTAAGTTTAGTATTTTATATTTTTCTTATTTCATTATGTATTTAGAGTTTTGACACAATCAATCTTAATTAAAATTACTAGTTTAATCAGACGTATTACTAATGTGGTCTTTATGATTTAATGCTATTTTAAATGTTTCTTATTTAAGTTGAAATTTTTAACCCGCTTGAATACAGACCATTGGAATTTTTGATAATTTTTGAATTAATTTAAGGCCCTCTAATACAGACCAATTTTTAAATTATCTACAATTAACATTTGTTTTTTAAAAACTGACATTCCTTTTTTGTATCTAACATTTTTATATTATAAAACATATTTTTGGTTCTCTGAAATACAATGCTTTGTTTGCATTTCCAAAAAACTGCTCACGCCACATTTTTATTGTTTATTCAACTTTCTTAACATTACTCAGGAATATCATTATTTTTTCTTCCTTTTATAATCTAAAATTCGAAAATACACAATATATGTAGCATATAGGATAATACACAATATATGCAGCATATAGGATAATACACAATATATGCAGCATATAGGATAATACACAATATATGCAGCATATAGGATAATACACAATATATGCAGCATATAGGATAATACACAATATATGCAGCATATAGGATAATACACAATATATGCAGCATAAAGGATAATACACAATATATGCAGCATATAGGATAATACACAAAATATGCAGCATATAGGATAATACACAATATATGCAGCATATAGGATAATACACAATATATGCAGCATATAGGATAATACACAATATATGCAGCATATAGGATAATACACAATATGTGCAGCATATAGGATAATACACAATATATGCAGCATATAGGATAATACACAATATATGTAGCATATAGGATAATACACAATATATGCAGCATATAGGATAATTTGATGTTTAACTTTTTTTGTAATATCTTACCTATTAGTGAATTATTTCGAATAGAAGTCTCATTTCGTAAACTGATTCCCACTAGAGGTTTAAGCAGCTCATTTTTCAAACGCACTTTTAAAGTAAAAGATGACGTAGAAATTATAATGTTTTGTAAAACATTTTTAAGGGTTAACTCATTACCATGATTCTACTTTCAGAATTGGAAATTGAAAATTTAACAACTTTTTTGCATGGGAAGAAATGGCCTCCTCCCTGTATCTGGTTTTCCTAGAACGGTTAGATGTGACACCTGGCCAGCCAAACAACTATCCTATATACACAACATTAAATATGAGATATATAGATAGATAGATAGATGGATGGATAGATAGATAGATAAATAAATAGATAGATAGATAAATATATAGATAGTTAGAGAGATACATAGATAAATAGATAGATAGATATATAAATAAATAGATAGATATATAAATAGATAGATAGATAGATAGATAAATAGATAAATAGATAGATATAGATCTAGCTAAACAACGTTTCTACAACATATTAAATTAGATCGGGGATTTTACTTTTAAAGTATAAATCTCTATCTATTAAAGGCCGGGTGTATGACCGATGACAGTATAATTGTACGATCTACTTGTCTGAACAAGATAAAATAATGGATGGAGGAAATAGTGAGAATTAAACACTTTTCAAGCTAGAACACCGATTGTATTTTCCACATAATTGATCAGAAAAAAAAACATAAAGGGTACCGTTGTGATTCAGACATGTTGGACAAGTCCATCAATACCAAAACTGAGACTTTCGCCTGCGTAGGAGTCAAAGCTAAACCTTTACCTTAAACCATCTTCCAGCTTCTTCATAGGTTATTTCACACCTAATAATAAAAGTGGAGAAACTAAAACCTAAACACACATGCTTCAAAGATTAGTTTAGAGACAGAATATTTATATAGATGGAGATACTGGAAGAAATTAAAGAATAGGATTAATGATTTTCCAATGTCCATATAAGCTGAGATACAGAGACTACCGTAAGAATCCCTTTACAAGATTTCAGAGAAAAGGCATAAAGTTGTAAAACATTTTTTAAGCCTATTTTTCAGGCATTCTTTTTAAAAAGTTAGAGCAATGGTTTGTGTGTTACATAGGCTACAAGAGCAAAAATAAAAGTCGAAAAGATATAATTTTGTTTATTGTCTTTTACAAATAATTTTGATATTTTCAAGGGATTTTCAAAATGTTACTTTTTAACTTTAACTTAGTCTTATCTTTTATTTCTGCTTTTATACAAAGGGTGACCCATAATATTATGAGATTGTAAAGCTAAAACCCTGTTAAACCATGACGATCTATACGGTTAATTTTAGTCTTATGTTTTGAATTTAGTCATTTAATGGTTCATTAATAATTTGGCTATGAAAGGAACAAGTTCATAGTTACAGCTTGTTCAGTTGTTTCAGAAGACATCCAGCGACTCTGCAATTCTGTATGTGCGTATTCTAACCTTCATCACAAAGTTGGTAGGTTCGTAAATATGGCTGGCTCGTCCCATCCATACACCCTCGGCCTTAACAAATTAACAAAAAATCAAATTCAAAATCACTATTTTGATAAAACTGTTCAATGTTCATATCCATCTGGCATGAAGCCTATAAGTTTGTTTTCAATCTATCTCTTGATACCCATAAGAACAAGTTTTGACAAACTTTAAAAACCACACAGCTATGAATTTTTTTTATTTGTTAATTACAGAATAAGTTTTTCGTTTCTAATTTTGCTGGTAAATGAAGGGTATCACAACTGTGATTAAAAATCACAAGAAATAATCACAAATAAAAAAAGCACAGAGCGTCACATATGATATTGTATTATAAGAAACTCTGTACAATGTACATGCATGCACATCGTAAAACAATTACATATTTGTTGGCTGCTCCAAAGGTCAGGCACATAGAGAATAGAATATATAGAGAGGAATTAAAAGAATCTCTCGGTATGAATTTTTTCAGTCCCTTTCAGCCTGAAAGGGAGTTCAAAGTGTTCAAATCATGTAAATGTTCACAAATTATATGCAGTAGAGTACATTAATACAGTATGTTCCCTAGACTATCCATTTCAACTTCGAATTTTTTAAACTGTTAAATAAACTTTATAATGAATAAGGTGAATAAAAACATCATTTGATTTATAGTTATAACGGAAAATCATCGTTTGTAAAGTGTCGAAGGCATAGAGTCTATGTGAAATGATCATTGGTCAATTATGAAACCAGCCTACTTCATAATTTGGTTTTCTTTTAACAATAATTTTAGATTTTCTATAAAATGATATTCCAGGGCTCAACAGGTTATATAGCATAAATATGTGAAGTACACCTGCAGTATGGAAACAGTACAACAAAATGGCCGTTTTACACTTTTTTCTAGTAAATTCCTCTCTATATATTCTATTCTCTATGGTCAGGCATCAGTTTTCTTTCAATTACGTAACTACATATCTCTTCATTCACGTGGCAATTAGGATGCAACAGACAACAAAATAAAGGAGGCAACAAGGCAATATAATATTCCCTCCAATATTTATTGCATCCCTACTAGCAACTGCCTGCCTGTACTGAAGAGATAAATAGTTATTTACTTGAATGAAGGAGGCTCCATAAAAGTTTAATTCTATGAAATCATGCAGGCACGAACAGAAGATATAAGCTTAATAAAGCAAAATAGTTCGTTCAGAATGATTTGTAAACATATTTTAGAGAGCAATAAAAACAAACTTTTAGAGCTCACACAACTTTGAAATATTCAAAGAATTTGTGAAACTACTGAAAGCCTAAACTCTTGATTTTTTCAAAGGTGAACAAAAACTATACCCCACTTTATTTGAATCTATATAAGAAAGTCAGAAGTAAAAAGATTCTAAAAAAACCTAGAAATACAAAAGTTTGGTAAAAAAGCCCCAATTTTCTCAAGGCATAGAACAAAACATCATCCTGAGTTTAGATTCCTGGGACTTTTTTCTATGCATCTGTATATTGAATGTTGCCAGGAGTGTTTTTAATATCATGTCCAGCTTTTTTTCCATGGTTGTAAACATGCTTTGTTCCCATTCATTTTCCACTATAAGAGGACTATTTTTTCCGGGTACGTTTTTGTATAAAATCATACTGGAACCAGAGTAAAAGTCCTAGAAAATAGAGTCTTAAATTGGTAAAACTTTATTTCCAGAGACATTTTATTTCTAGGACTTTTTCCACAGGACTTGTTTGGTGCCAAAATTCAGGTCTTTATTTCCGAAAACTTTTTTTAGAGAATTATTTTGATGGTGAGCCTCTACTTCTACCTTAGATACCCCCGAGTGATGTCTGTAGACATATACTCGGTCTGAAAACTGGTTTCTTGTATTCTCCTTGTACCACACAACGGCAAAGAAATTACCACATTCGTGGATTTTCACCTGAAAAAAATGTAATAAAAAACAGGTTAAGGATCATTTTCGGAAATGGAATAAATCAGAAAATTTATCTGGAAACCTTTTCTAAGTTCGTTAAAGTTATCAGGACTTTAAATGACTTTAAAAAGGGTTAGCAAACTTATCTTATTGTAAGAGGAGGTTAAAGAAAAATATTTTGCCCCAATATTTGCAGGTGGTGGGCTGGAGCTTGGATCATTATTCCGGCTACCTAGGGTTAAATAATGATATATTTGCAGGTGGTGGGCTAGAGCTTGGATCATTATTCCGGCTACCTAGGGTTAAATAATAATATATGTGCAGGGAGTGTGCTGGAGCTTGAACCATTATCGCGGCTACCTAGAGTTATGTAATAAAGATGATTTGCAGAATTTTTGTGTTTTGAATCGGGGGTTTAAGCATTGACAATTGATAAAATCTTATGCAGATTAATATTATTCGGATATCCCGTGGCACTTATACTCTGCAAGGGTAATTTTTATTCAAAAGTTCTGATCTCTGACCGAGTAAGATTCTCCAGAACCATTCGATTATTATTCAGGCCGCATAGGGGGGAGGGCACACCACATAATTTTTTCTTCCAACCACAAAACACGTCAAAGTTCACAATTGAAAAAGGTGTTATAAGACATAACAAACACAGTTTTAAGCATAGAAGCAATGCCCGGGCGAAAAAAAGGTGTGGTAGATAGAAATAAGGGTGAGTTGTGACGTCATTTGTGGCGTGGACGAAAAAATTGTGTTATGTGCCTTCCCTCCCTCCAGGGGCACTGGGTAGAGTTAAAAATAATAAACTCCTCATCTTTTTTGGTTGTTATAGGTGAATTTGTATAGATTGCGAAAACTGTGTTAGTACAATGTTGAGTACTAAGTTTTACCTCGTGCGATCCCCCTGGGATGGAAACAGTGAAGAAAGAACCAAATACTCAGAGAAAACGAAGTTTTCATCTTTCTATTCAGTCAGCCAGCAATCCATCACATGACAATACAGCACAGACAATCTAATCATATTCAATTCAGTTTTATACTTTTCAACAATTCACAATCTTCTGAGAAACATTGAACAATTGAAAGTTAAATATTAGATTTTGTTTTTTTTTCAAAAAAGTTACAAAATCATGTTGTCAACTTTTTCACAGACAGAATAAAAATTTAACTGGGCTGTCAATATGTAATTTAGAGCGACCGGATTAAAGAATGTCATATTATATTTACAACGGTCCTCTTCTAACTTCTATCTGAATATTGAGAAATTGATATTGACCTTTCACTGCCACAAATAGAAGTGTTTAAATCTAATTCATTGTATCTGAAGTATGAATTCTTAAATTACGCTTTCAAAGAAACCACAATCAATGATTAATATTTAGCTAAAGAAATAAGAATAAATCATTCATCCTTGAACGGACAGGGTTTTAATTGCACTGTTGTAAATTGAAATGTTTTTCTAACAAGTTCAAACTTACTTGAAATTACTTCTATATTATAGAGTTCTATAGTGCAACAGATAAAAGTAGAATTGGTAGCGATCGATATTGAATTCAATTCAATATCAGCCTTTACCCCTTTCTTTTTTTCAAACACTCCCTTTAATGCTTTTCAATGAAATCTGCCAAATGAAATATTTGAATTGCCTAGCATTTGAATAGCATTTAGCAATATAAAGATTATAATTCGATGAATATCAAATACGGTAAACTAGCCTTTTATTCATTTTATATTAGGTTTGATTGAGAAAGGTAACATCAGATGTGGTTCAACCAGCACCAAATCATCCAAAATTATGTAATTATTTTTTTTGATAGAAACAGCAAAGGAAATTGTTAACTTAAAATTTAAAAAATCCTTTGAAATTTTTAAAATATTCCCTCAGATTTAAACAATTAATTGATACAATAGATTTGAGGGGAATACTATTCCAAATTCATAATAATTAATTTAATTTAATTTCCAGGACATTTTTCGGACTAGGTGGGGGGGGGGGGATTTTCAATACTAATATATAGAAAGACTAATCAATTAAGTGTTTCTCCAATATGATGGTTGCCACAACGTTGATTAGGCTAAAATTTGTTGTAAAAAATTTTTTTTGCAGAATTAAATATAGAAATTATAAAAAATTTAAAATTTAAAATAGCATGGGGAACTTTTATCGACAGCAATGATTTTAGCCTGGCACGAAATTTAAATTGATAATTTGTATTCTTAATGTTACAGAAACGAGATTAAAAAGGTCGATTTACAAAAAAGTCATAAACATAAAATCACTGAAAAAAAGGATGAAAAAAATGTGTAACTTTAAAATGTAAAATTTCAACTTTATACAACACACCCACCTCTGCCCCTTTAGTCAAAGTAAATTCAACATAAATGAAGCATAAAGTCTGACCGCGTCAACCATGTTGCACTGGCTAGTCCTGTTGAATGCTGCTTTATTAACCCAATGTCCGTGCGGTACAGAACAAACTGGGACCGGAAAGGTTGACCCGGCTCGGAAATTAAAATGCACTACGACTGCCCGTGAACAAATAGAGAAACAAAAATAATCATTTTTCCGTTCTTTGAATATATATTTCAAAAATTTACCTTTTATGAGAAAGTCATTATTTCTAACGGGAATTGCAAGCAAAGCACTGCCTGTTCAACATGTTTCTAAAATAAACGTAAATCAGTAGAGTTTATATTTAAAAAGTTAGATGAATTTAACACAAAACCGAAATTACGATAAAAAACATTAATCATCTAAATGGTCGCTGAGAATTAAAGCAGTAAAGTACAAAGTACAAAGTAAATAAGATCTTCTTTTTATTCAGCAAAAACTCGAGCACCTTACTTCGACATGTCTACACTTTACGTTATTTGAAGTGAGCGAACATATATTGTATTAGGTAATTTAGACAAAAATAAATGAAGGTGAATGGTATATATTACTGATTTTATATCTAAGCATTGAATATCTGCATTAGACACATTAATATCAGATTGTTATACATGGCATTATACATACTAATACATGACTACATTATATACTACATATCTTTCATTTTCCTCTACCAATAAGTATTACAATTACAATTTGAAATAACAATTTTAAATAATAAATAAATAAAATTTTGCCACGTCTGAATAAAAATTTATCTTTTCCAATAGCAGTTTTTTTTGTATCCAAAAAAATAATAATAGCACACTTTCAAAGGCTTTAAATTTGAGAAAAATTCTAGAATTAAAAAAATCCCCAATTTTGTTTTTTTTTCTGAAAATTCAAACAGTTTTAATATTTTTTAAAATAAAATTGCTTAAAGAATTATGTGCAGGGGCAGGAGGAGCAACATTTTTTGGCCTAACCTTTTAAGGTTGACGGATTATAAATTGAAATAATTTTTTCTTTTTTTATACTTTGTTTTTAGAACTGTTAATTAGTTTATTAGTTTGTCTAAGTCGGGTAATTATAGTCATTTATCTATTAATTACTTTAATTACTTATAAACAATTAATTGTAATTTCCTTCTTGTTCAGAAACTTTTTCTTCCTGGATATGTTGACATGATTTGTTTAAAAAGGACTAACCAGAGTGAGCAGCATTCGATTTCTTCTATTTGAAATCAAACATATTTTGGTCTATATGTTTAAGTCATGGATTTGTTTATTCAATACTTGTTCATATAAAATGCATATGCCGACAAAAAAAGAGTAAAGACTACAAAATTATGTTTAATGTGTCAAATTGAATATTGACAGAACTGTTAAATCAACTTCGTGTCGTATCTGTCTCTAATCCTTTGGATGGTATAGAGATGGGAAAAGTTCCGTTAAAGAACGGAAACTTTTAAAAATGAACCGGAGAATTTCGTTATTATCTAAAACGTTGACGGACATTGCCGTTAATTCAAAATTGATCAACGTTTTTGTTTTCTATTTATGCCTTACTTAGTAAAAAAACTGTATTTTTTTTAGAGTTTATGTCCAATAATCTTTTGAGCACATTGCAAGCCGGGGCTGGAGCACTTTCGTTAACAAGCGTTAAACAAATTCATAGAAAAATTGTTAAATTACTATTTGAAAACGATCAGAGTTAGATACTTGAAAGTCCTTAATTTAAAAACCAGAAAAAAGGATTAAAAAGTCGTACCCAGCCCTAGATTGATCCTAAAGTACATATTTTAATAAGACATGTTTTGCTGAAGTTTAGTAAGTGAAGGTTTTGGCTAGGACAGAAGTATAGTATAGTGAAGGCTTTGGCTAGGACAGAAGGATAGTATAGTGAAGGTTTTGGCTAGAACAGAAGTATAGTATGGTGAAGGTTTTGGCTAGGATAGAAGCATAGTATATGAAGGCTTTGGCTAGGACAGAAGGATAGTATAGTGAAGGTTTTGGCTAGAACAGAAGTATTGGTGAAGGTTTTGGCTAGGATAGAAGCATAGTATATTGAAGGTTTTGGCTATGACAGAAGTATAGTATAGTGAAGGTTTTGGCTAGGACAGAAGTATAGTATAGTGAAGGCTTTGGCTAGGACAGAAGTAAAAGGTAGGATGGGTATTGAGCAAGTAATGACGAATGAAACAGTACATGTGGTCCATGTGGTACATGTGGTACATGGGGAAGTAACTATTAAACCTAGTAAAGTATATTGTACAGGACGAGTACAAGAAATAAAAAAAAGTACAGTGATGACCAGAAAACTCTGAAATAGGAAGACGAATCAAGTTGGGACTTAAATTAGTTCAATGAGCATTAGACATAGCAATTGTACAGTGTAAATAGACCCGTTTCACTTAAATTGTGCTTCGCTAAGTTACTAGTAAAAATATTTGCTATGTAACAACATCTAAAGTATTACTATTACGCCTTTATATTCCATTGTTTTCTGGTTATCACTGTATATTGTACAGAAAAAGTACAGGAAGTAACTATTAAACCTAGTAAAGTATATTGTACAGGATGAGTACAGGAAGTAACAATTAAATATAGTAAAGTATATTGTACAGGATGAGTACAGGAAGTAACAATTAAATCTAGTAAAGTATATTGTACAGGATGAGTACAGGAAGAAACAATTAAACCTAGTTAAGTATATTGTACAGGATGAGTACAGGAAGTAACTATTAAACCTAGTAAAGTATATTAACATGATGAGTACAGGAAGTAACTATCCAACCTAGTAAAGTATATTAACATGATGAGTACAGGAAGTAACTATTAAACCTAGTAAAGTATACTGTACAGGATGAGTACAGGAAGTAACAATTAAACCTAGTAAAGTATACTGTACAGGATGAGTGCAGGAAGTAACTATTAAATATAGTAAAGTATATTGTACAGAAAAAGTACAGGAAGTAACTATTAAACCTAGTAAAGTATATTGTACAGGATGAGTACAGGAAGTAAATATTAAACCTAGTAAAGTATACTGTACAGGATGAGTACAGGAAGTAACTATTAAACGTAGTTAAGTATACTGTACAGGATGAGTACACTGTTCAAGAACTAACAATTAAGCCTAAGGACTGCTGGATACTGAAACTCATGAGAATACCATGAAATTAGATAGATAGATATATAGAGGTTGATTTATAGATAGATAGATAGATAGACTGAGGTCCGAGGATTAAGAGAGGTTTAACCGTCTAAGAGCTCACAGACTCCGGGTAGAAATTTGAGGGAGGAGGGGGGGNCTTGCTAGGCTACTTGCATTCTTCCCAACTATTGTTTCTATCTTACTAAGTTACTGGGGGAGCTCCATGTACAATGGGAGGGATATATAAAAGAGTTGACCCTTAAAAGACTATTAAAAAGGCCTGTAAGCTGATACAAAATAAAATTTGAAAAAAATACACATTTTACATTTTTAGAATTTGCGTTCCATTTCTTTTAAAACTGTAAAAGTATCTTTTATTTAATATTTTCAATATATAAAGAAAGTCAGAAGCCGTAAGAGGAAATTTGATTACATATTTACATTTAATAAAAAATGTTTTATTAGATATTAATAAATAAAGACAAAGATGAATAATGACAATTTGTTTACAATATTCTTTAAATATTTATATGATATCAGATAAAAATATTTTGACATTTTTATATTTCTTGTTCTTTATTTTCTTCTTGTATGTACATCTTTCAATCATGTTTTGAATAATTTTGATTTTTTTTTTTGGGGGGGGGGATATCTTTGCAGTATGCCATGCTACAAGCTAGAACTACGCTTGAGAGAATTTTGCTTTCTGTTTTTCTGAACTTTATATCGCATCATGTGTTACATCTGACTCATTAAAACACACAATTCCTGATACTCTCTAACTTCAACCTAGAGTGAAATAAATGGAGGGAGCGGGTGGACGTCTTCCAAGCTCCCATCTCTTAATGTTGTCTCCATTTACTAACGGCCTAAATGATTATATATGATAGAGTAGAGCTTATCATCAAGAGACTTCCCTTCCAATTTTCCTGTTCAATTTTCTTTTTTCTTTTTTCTTCTTGCTTCTTGTTTCTTGTTTCTACGCTTTGAAGCCTCTCCAAATAGTTCTTGTGACATCGAGTTGTGGAGCAGGTAGGAGAGAGATAAGGAGGGTTTGAGGAGGAAGGGTATGGGGGATTGCTCCCTGTTTTCCTTCTTGTTAAAGTCCGCCATTCTGTCTCCATGCCCTGCTTTTTGGTCTTCAAAAAGAGATATTTGCCGCTTACATCACAAATTTATTTTAAAAAGTAATCTCAACATGATAAAATGTAGGGCTTGCATGTGGTTCTGCGGATCTGAAGGAGATCCCATCCCTCCAGTTACAGGTTAAAGGAATGAGAGGGGGGCGGGTCAACCAAAATCTAAAAATTGATGCACTTTTTCAGGTAACAATTGTTTGTGTCACAATTTTCTTATGTTGGTTACGCCTGAAATTTCTGCGCAAATTCTGGTGCACGAGCATTTTTGCAAATTGCTCTAATCTTTTAAGAGAAGAAAGCTCAAAGCTCAAAAATACTGCTGAAGATTGCTATCTTTTAAAAATAATTTTCCATTTGTGTTATTTCTACAATAAAATTAGAGACACAGGGTTACCATTCACAAATATGTTTGGATTCATCACATCTCATTAATTTATAGGGTTCTTTAATTATTCAAATTCAAATATCTTATTTTTTACTTTATTATAATTGCAATTTAGAACTGAATTAGACGTTATGAATGTGAATTTCATGTAGTTAGATGATAGGTCATTCTTAAAATCTCATTCAAAAGCTTATCTAATTTCAAAAATTAAAAACCTTTGTCAAAAATCTATTGAAAATCCAATCATAGAAGGGGCTTTTTATTAACCATCAAAGGTTCACAACGTATTTCCAACTTAGAGCCATTTTAAAATAAAATTACTCAAATCCCCCTTGCACCAGCACTGAAGTTTGCTTGATCACAAATGTAAGCCAGAAAAAAATTGTCAAAATAAATTAGAATGGGTATCAAAATATCAGTCTTCAAAGTGAAACATTGAATTCAGAAAGTTAAATTCATAAAATTAATTTCATAAAAACCCCTGGAAAATTACGCACTTTATAAGCAAAAAAAGGTTATAAGAAAAGATATTTGTCCTAGTATAAAAAACGAATTGTTTAGCCTAAAAATAAAACACGTTTGAAATCTCGAAAAACGAATAAATAGACCGTATTCTACGGTTCCAGGCGTATTTTTTGATACCCATATCAACATGTTTTAAAAATAAAAAAATTCGACCTTTTTCTGTTATTATTGTTGCTTCTCATTTGAATTCTTCGATTAAATAGTTTCATCCTTCCTAAGAGCGGCAGAATCCCAATTTACCCTTTTCCGCTCTTTCTCTGATTATCCATGCATAGAGATGTTAACGTTTTCATTTTTTTAAAACGGTCGTTTCGTAATGAGAACGACGATAATTGTCAATATTTTTTTTCAAAAATGATCGTTTTTCATAAGCGATCGTTTTTAAAAATAATCGTATAAAAACGGTCACAAATAGTTTTTAAAAAAACTATCGTTTTCTAAAACGTTATTCGTATTCTAAAATGTTATTCGTTTTCAGTTTCTAAAAGTTCAAAACGAGTGGGGTCGTTTTTAAAAACCATCGTTTTTTTCCAAAACGAAACGATCGTTTTTGAAAACGATTGAAAAACGAAACCAAAAACGATTAACAACTCTAGCCATGCAATGAGGATGATATTGTCGTACTTCGTTCTCGAAAAGATGAGAAAATATGCATCTTCCAAGTATATCTTATCTTCACAGTTTTCTTTCTTTTATCTATTGCATAAATCTTCAAGCCACCTTTAAAGAGGAAACAATGGGAAAATAATGTTAGATGACAACAACTTATCATTAAACTCTTATGGGTCACTTAAAAATCACATTGACAGACCGTATATAACGAAAAAATTAAGTTTTTAAAACAATAAATCCTTTTTATTATTTCAAACTTTTACCGTCAGCAAAAAAACTGTATGTATCTCCCCCCCCCCTAGATTGAATGAAACTATGAGGGTGTAGACCATATAAATTAGGATGAGTAGGATGAGTAGGATAAGTAGGATGTCCGAGAGNCTATCTTGCTAGGCTACTTGCATTCTTCCCAACTATTGTTTCTATCTTGCTAGGCTACTTGCATTCTTCCCAACTATTGTTTCTATCTTGCTAGGCTACTTGCATTCTTCCCAACTATTGTTTCTATCTTGCTAGGCTACTTGCATTCTTCCCAACTATTGTTTCTATCTTGCTAGGCTACTTGCATTCTTCCCAACTATTGTTTCTATCTTGCTAGGCTACTTGCATTCTTCCCAACTATTGTTTCTATCTTGCTAGGCTACTTGCATTCTTCCCAACTATTGTTTCTATCTTACTAGGCTACTTGCATTCTTCCCAACTATTGTTTCTATCTTACTAAGTTACTTGCATTCTTTCCAACTATTGTTTCTATCTTACCAAGTTATTTGCATTCTTCCCAACTATTGTTTCTATCTTACGAAGTCATTTGTATCGTTCCCAACTATTGTTTCTGTCTTACTTTCATTCTTTTCAATTATTGTTTTTTTTCTTTGTAAGTTACTTGCATTTTTCCCAACTATTGTTTCTTTCTAACCAAGTTACTTCCCAACATCCCAACTATTGTTTCTATCTTACAAAGTTATTTGCATCCTTCCAAGCAATGAGGATGATATTGTCGTACTTCGTTCTCGAAAAGATGAGAAAATATGCATCTTCCAAGTATATCTTATCTTCACAGTTTTCTTTCTTTTATCTATTGCATAAATCTTCAAGCCACCTTTAAAGAGGAAACAATGGGAAAATAATGTTAGATGACAACAACTTATCATTAAACTCTTATGGGTCACTTAAAAATCACATTGACAGACCGTATATAACGAAAAAATTAAGTTTTTAAAACAATAAATCCTTTTTATTATTTCAAACTTTTACCGTCAGCAAAAAAACTGTATGTATCTCCCCCCCCCCTAGATTGAATGAAACTATGAGGGTGTAGACCATATAAATTAGGATGAGTAGGATGAGTAGGATAAGTAGGATGTCCGAGAGTGTCCGAGGTGTTCGGCCAAATTGGAGAATATATTGCAGTTTGATTATAGGCAGTTACCAGCCAATTGTTCCTATCAGGGGCCAATAGACCTTGCTAAAAATTGAAAAAAAAATATTTTTTCAGGTTNGGAGTTTACAGATAGAAAGTAGGAGAACTAGAGTTAACAGATAGAAAGTAGAAGAACTGGAGTAAACAGATAGAAAGTAGGAGAACTGGAGTTTACAGATAGAAAGTATGAGAACTGGAGTTTACAGATAGAAAGTAGGAGAACTAGAGTTAAAAGATAGAAAGTAGAAGAACTGGAGTAAACAGATAGAAAGTAGGAGAACTGGAGTTTACAGATAGAAAGAAGGAGAACTAGAGTTTACAGATAGAAAGTAGGAGAACTAGAGTTTACAGATAGAAAGTAGGAGAACTAGAGTTAAAAGATAGAAAGTAGGAGAACTAGAGTTAAAAGATAGAAAGTAAAAGAACTGGAGTAAACAGATAGAAAGTAGGAGAACTGGAGTTTACAGATAGAAAGTAGGAGAACTGGAGTTTACAGATAGAAAGTAGGAGAACTGGAGTTTACAGATAGAAAGTAGGAGAACTGGAGGAAACAGATAGAAAGTAGGAGAACTGGAGTTTACAGATAGAAAGAGATAATGCACTTTGCTCCGCCCCTGACATACATTCTTCCCAACATCCTTCTTTCTCCACCTTACTTAGCAAAATGCATCTTTAAAAAGATATATTTGTTTATGTTCTTATTTTAATACAGATAACGAGCAGTTTATTTAAATCTATTAATAATATGATTCAAACTTGTGAAATCTTTCATTCCATCCCTTCACGCTACACGGATACTCTCTAAAAAAACATACAAAATTATTGATAATCAAAATAAATTTCAAAAATAATTGCTTTCATAATTGTTTTTAATGTAAGTTGCATATTTTCAGGGAAAATTTTTTGAAAGAAATTGTAATAGAAGTAATATACTGTGTCTATTTTTGCAAAAAAGTTGGGTCAGTTATAAAGAAAGTCTTTGCCATAATCCGGAATGATCTCTATATCTTTGCAACCTGATTGTGTAAACCTTTGATATTTTAAACTTAGATTATTTCATCTAGTTGAATTCATGAATTCTCATGCTTTTAGAATTAGTTTTGTATTTACCATGTTTAATATATGTAAAATATTAATTGTTTGATTTAGTTTGGTAAGAATAAAGATTTGTTTTCCCAGATCTAATAATTGAATTGGGGTTTAATTTTGTAATTTGATTGGTTTCTGGTGAGGTTGGTTTTGATTTGATTAGTATCTGGTATAGCTGGTTTAGATTTAATTGGTTTTTGGTATAGTTAGTTTTGCTTTGATTAGTTTCTGGTATAGTTGGTTTCTGGTACAGTTGGTTTCTGGTATAAATAGTTTTGCTTTGATTAGTTTCTGATGTAGTTGGTTTAGATTTAATTGGTTTCTGGTATATTTGTTTTACTTTGATTGGTTTCCGGTATATTTGTTTTACTTTGATTGGTTTCTAGTATTTTTGTTTAGCTGTGATTAGTTTCTGGTAATGTTTTTACTTTGATTGGTTTCTGGTAAAGTTGTTTTACTTTTATAAATTTTTAGTATACTTAAGTTTTACTTTAATAAGTTTCTGGTGTAGTTGTTATACTTTACTTTTATTAATTTCTGGTACAGTTTTTTTACTTTGATTAGTTTCTGATATGGTTGTTTTACTTTGATAATTGCTGGTATAGTTGTTTTACTTTACTAAGTTTCTGGTATAGTTAGTATCGCTTTGATTAGTTTCTGGTATAGTTGTTTTACTTTGATTGGTTTCTGGTATAGTTGTTTTACTTTGATTGGTTTCTGGTATTTTTTGTTTTACTTTGATTAGTTTCTAGTGTAACAGGTTTTAATCGGAATTTTTTCTGGTACGGATGGTTTTGATTGGTTTTTGTTAAAGATGGCTTCTGAGTTCTGATAAAATCATTTTCATTTTATTTTTAATTTCTGAGTGATCCACTTTGATTTTATTGGTTTCTGGCGTTGTTATTTATTTGGTTGGTTTCTGGTATTACTTTGATTGTGTTGTTTGTAATTGGTTTTGATTTCATTGTTTTTTGTTATTAATTTTTTGATTTGATTGTTTTTTTTTGCAATTGGATTTGATTAGTTTTTGTACCTGAATTGATCTAAGTATCCAACCCATTTATTAGTTATCCATTTACTCCCAACTAATACAGGGCAACCACCATGATTTGTAAATTGGTCCTTAACAATAGCAAATAAATTGGTCGAAAATTGCAACAAAAAAACGAATTCGGATTTGGCTAAAGATGTGAGTAATAATGAAGAAAAAATTGTAATCAATCATTCTGATTATTTAATAGGCACTATCCTTTGAAATAGTACTCAAATTCAAGTTATTTAAAACAGCTAGTGTGCAGCAATGTGAGATGCACATGAGTACTGAGAAGGTTAAATAAAGTGCATGGAAAAGTGTGACTCATAAAACTCTTGAAGATGAAGACGACATTCGAATACCTTTATGAGTATTTATTGTTGTTTAAGATTAAATACGCTTTTGAGTGCTTAAAAAAAAAACTTAATAAATGACCAAGGTCAGTGCATACTGCACAATTGTTGTGTTTTTTTTTTCATTGGACCATCACTGAGTCTAACAGTTGTCTTCCTATTCCACAGTTTAATGGGTCTCACTGTATATTTTTAGCCAGACGAACAGAAGATAATATTAATACCTTCCAGTTTATAGGTCAGTGTTTTCTTCTTTTAAAATATTACCTGAAGTCCACTTGTGTACATGTTCAACCAAAATGCCGCGTCTCCTTTCTTCACTGTAATCCGGTTTCCAGTGTTTGGGAAACACGTGGCGCCGCCAGCCTACAGTTAATCAATCAATCAAAAATTTATAAATAAACAATTTTTCATATACAATAAAAGAGATGGGAAAAGTAATTATAAAAATAAAAAAGTTTTTTAATTCTTCATGAATCGGTTACCTCAACGTCTGCAAGGTAGACCATTATGGTAGCTATACGATCACCTGAAAATACGAACAGCCATCAGTTTTTCAGATGTTTTGGATCGGATTGAAGAAAAAAAAGCATAAAACATAATCAAATTATAAAAATAGGTCAAGTTTTAAACTATTTTATTTCTTTACTTTTTGTGCTACATAATTGAAATTGATTGATCTGAAATATTGCAAAGATTTTATAATAATGTGCAACATTTTTTAAATGGAACCATGATGAATGCTACAATGTTTCAAAGAGCGATATTTTTGCCACCCTGTATTGACAATTGGATTATTGTATTTTCTAAGAAATTAACTGTTGCACTCTAATAATTAATTTTCTGTAAACATGGATTAGAACATTGAGATGAATTGTTGAATGCCTAGTCATCTTAACATTTTACCTGTCTTTTCAAGAAAATCAGATTTTGTGACTCCGTTCCAGTATCCGTGCGCATCCAAATGTTGGCCATACTGCCCACCCAGACCATAGTTTGCAATCTTTACAAATAAATCTTAAATCACTCTAAAAATATCTTAAATAAAAAGTTTTATTTGATTTAAAACCTGAAATTTCTCTGCTGACCAATATTTTAAAAGTTTGAATTTTCCAACCAGTTCCATCCGGTCAGAAACTCTTGCAGCGACTGAAAAAAAAATATTATTTAAAGAGGGTGACTTGCTTTCCATGGTAGTTGAACTCAAAGTGCAGTAAGTGTATAAACAAACTTTACGATTCAGTTGATACTAATGAGACATTTTTAAGATTAAGAATTAAAAAAAACGTTTCTTTTGCTGACTGAAACAGCACATGAAATATTTCAAATGACTTTATGCTCTTATTAAAATATTGTACACCGTAAAAATGTCTCATTGGTATAAAAAGAATCCTAAAGTTTTTCTCTACAATACTGCACTTTCAGCTCAACTACAGTCATGCTCAGAAAGACCCGGAATTAATTTACAATTAATCAGACGACTTTACAGTCTAATTATACAATTACGATTAATGAAACTTTAATTACAAAATAGCCCTTGTCCTGCTTATTCTAAAATATGGTCTGCCTTGTCTGCCTTGTTTAGGCGTTTAAAATTACCAGAGATATAAATATAAAGTGTTCTGATTAACTGCCATTTCATTATGGGTCTTTCTGGTTATGACTGTACATGTCTAGCAAGTACTTCCTTTAATAAAATATATTTCATTTTCAACTTTTGGATTTTCAAGAAATTTTGCAAAATTTAATGAATGGCGAATTTTAGTTCATATTCCAAATTGAATCACTTCTCCTCAACTTAAACAACAGAAAGGATTTAACTACTTCTATAACGCATATAAATATTTTCGATATTTATTAAATCTTATCCCATATTACTACTGATGGCCGATGTTGAGATCAGTTTTTAAAGGGAGTGACCGGCTATGTAAGGTTGTTGAACTGAGTATACAATGTTGTGGAAAACTTCTTTCGGATTCATTTGAGACATATTTTTTTTTAAAGATCTGTAAATCCTGAGTTTGAGCGCAAATTCACTCCTTCTTTGGGGTTGATACGTCTTCAGAATTAGTTTTTTTAATTATAAAATATCGAGGACATAAAATGTTTAAAAAGTTCTACAAAAATCAATCTTATCATTGAAAATAAGTAATCTTGTTTAATTGTTAGTTTCTATTTTCTTATTATTCTGGTTTCTTATTATTCACAAAGATTTTCTGCAGATTTTCTAGAATTATTATTGAAAAGACGAAGTTTGAAGAATTTGAAGATATCTGCGAATAAATCTAAAGAAAATAAGAAATTCAATAAAATGATAAACACGAAATAATCAATTCTAGCATTGATTTATTGACAAATTTCTTTTGAGAAATATGTTCCCAACCATCTAATTAGATTACTGTATAATCTTTACTTTATTTTTCGTTGTCGTTATTTAATAATTTAAAAAACCCGATTCTGAAAACCTATCCAGCCCCAACCAAAGTAGGAGTTTTGAACGTCGAATTTGCGCTCAAACTTAGGATTTACAGATCTTTATAAAGTTTTATATGTCTCAAATGAATCCGAAAGAAGTTTTCAACAACACTGCATACTCAGTTCAACTACCTTACATAGCCGGTCACTCCCTTTAAACAATTTACATTTTTCGACTTTTAAGAGGCTCCTTAAGAATCCTGTTTCAAAATGTTATGCTTGATAATTCTTCTTTTATTACTTTTTCCTAACTTTACTTTAACCAAATATATTAATTCCAAAAAAGATTTTTCAAAACAATTCGTCAAATCGTTTTAAAAAATAGATTTGGACAAAATCTGTGGGCAGAGCAAATATTTTTGTTTAAATTAACAAAGAACACTTATCACGCATAAAATCTTAAAACAGGAGAAACTTTTCAGATTCTTAAATGTTAAAAACGGAGCACACAAAACATAATGTCCCAACCGACACAAAACATCATGTCCCAACCGACACAAAACATCATGTGCCAACCGACACAATACATAATGTCCCAACCGACACAAAACATCATGTCCCAACCGACACAATACATAATGTCCCATCCGACACAATACATCATGTCCCAACCGACACAAAACATCATGTCCCAACCGACACAAAACATCATGTCCCAACCGACACAAAACATCATGTGCCAACCGACACAATACATAATGTCCCATCCGACACAAAATATCATGCCCCAACCGACACATCATGCCCCATCCGACACAATACATCATGCCCCAACCGACACAAAACATCATGCCCCAACCGACACAATACATCATGTCCCAACCGACACAAAACATCATGTCCCAACCGACACAAAACATCATGTCCCAACCGACACAAAACATCATGTGCCAACCGACACAATACATCATGTCCCAACCGACACAATACATCATGTCCCAGCGACACAATACATCATGTCCCAACCGACACAAAACCTCATGTCCCAACCGACACAAAACATCATGTCCAACCGAAACTATGAAATTCTACCTTTATCTGTTGCGTTGAACACATCCCTGGTTGAAAAGTATGATCCCCAGCTCCAGTCAGTCTCCAATATTCTAGCACTTTCATTCAAACTCGAACCTCCAATCTAGAAGTAAAATTTTTACCGGGTTTTAACCAACATTACCGACCCAGGATTCCCACAACAGAGGGACGTTAAGTTACTTTACGTTCCTTGGGACAATTAATAAAAATAAAGACCCGCTCTGCGCTCGGGATAATTTTGGATATTTATTTAACAATACTCTAGCACTTTCATTTACACTCAAACTACAATACTCTAGCACTTTCATTTACACTCAAACTACAATATTCTAGCACTTTCATTTACACTCAAACTTTCAATCTAGAAGTAAAATTCTTTTCATCCTACAGGTTAATTTTGAATAACTATTTAATAATATTCTAGCCCTTTCATTTACACTCAAGCCTATAATCTAGAAGTAAAATTCTTTTCATCCTACAGGTTAATTTTGAATAACTATCTAAATATTCTAGCCCTTTCATTTACACTCAAGCCTATAATCTAGAAGTAAAATTCTTTTCATCCTACAGGTTAATTTTAAAAAACTATCTAAATATTCTAGCCCTTTCATTTACACTCAAACCTATAATCTAGAAGTAAAATTCTTTAAATCCTACAGGTCAAATTTGAATAACTGTTTAATAATATTCTAGCACTTTCATTTGCACTCAAACTTTTAATTTAGAAGTAAATTATTTAAATCCTATGGGTTAAATTTGAATAACTGTTTAACAATATTCTAGCATATTCATTAACACTCAAGCCTACAATTTAGAAGTAAAATTCATAATTCCCATGGGTTTACCCATTTGACTTGATACGATAATTTTGAAGCTCTACCGCTAAAACTAAATATGCTTTAGAACAACATCAAATACTCATTAGATTGGTTAAATGTCATCAATTCCTCCTATTTAGAGTTGTTTATGGATTTGCTTTTGAAGACTGGGGTTTAAGCAAATATTAAAAAATATTTTTAAGACATTATTATTGTCAAATAGTATTGATTACTGTGCAAAAAATAGAGAAGAATATTTTGCACTGTTGAATTCATATGCAAATCTTGAATACATGTCTGCAAACACAAATACCTTGAAGGCTTTAATGTAGTTTATGATGGCAGAAAAACTGCTGAACTCCCCTTCAGTCATGGAAAATAAATTCCAAATGGAAAAATTAAAACATGAAAAATATTTCCCCTTCTTACAGGACATACAGACGAAATTTCAAGTGAGCCTCCCTTTAATTTGTGGAATGTTCAATTCACAAAGGTACCCGGATATCTCTATCTGAGTAATAATGAGGACAATATGGACTTGTTATGATGTATTTAATTACAGTACATGTTTTCAAATTATACGTCACAATAATACAATATGACTCTTTGACACTGCACGTGGTATTGCCAGACTACATTTGTTGCATAAAACGTGATGGGTCGACTCTAGACTGGGTAGCCTGTCTCGACGGTAGATGTTGTACCGACTAGGATCATGTAACTATTAGAATAGTGTGATGGAAATCCTTTACAAGGTTTTTTTAAAAAAGTTTTTAAGTTAATTTTAAACGTTTATTAGAAGAGTGTCGCAACATCAATTGGTCTTATATTTTACCCTACTAACTCACTTTTTTTGTAGCCCTAAACATGCACATTCCTAAATCAGGAAAAATTTGTGTTTAGCTCTTGTTTTTAAAGAAGAAATTTGCACTATTATTAAACATTTTTTGTGGGAAAGCTTTATTTCTTTAAATCACAGTGAACCCACTTTGCATAAAATTACCTTATTATGAACCAGTGTGATGTTAGGACTGAATTCTCTGTGATCCAACCAGGTTTGTTTACTAGTTCTTAAATAGGAGCTGCCAGAGTTCCCCTCAGTAGATCCGTGAGTACTTCGAGCAAGCAGATCTTAACAGTCAAGGGAAGACGACTTTTATAAATTTGATTTTAATACAGGGTGTCCCACGAAACATGACAGTTGATAGACGACTTCAAGATTGTTTTTGATCTTTGAAATAATTGTTATCTCAGCGAAATTCTTAGCATTTTCTTAATTTTTACGAATTAAAAAAGAAAACAATATTTTATTAATGCCTGGACTAAAGTTATTAAGTGAGAATTCTTCTAAGAACATTTTTTTAATTAGGATAACGAATACATGTTGTTAATTAAGACGATTTTCAAGTCGTCTCTCAACTATACGTATCGTGTTAGAAGTTTGTTTGTTTAATAGAAATTACAAACATTAGTTCGAAATTGCATAATATAATATTTAAGACCTGTTACGCTCTTTTCAACAAAGAATTTTATTTACGACATTCAGTATATTTAATATATTGTAGCTTTAAGATATCAGATTTTTAGACCCAGAACAATTTTTTAAAAATATTTGCGCATGCGCAGAATTTTGCGCATTTTTGCATTTTGTTAAACAGTAAACTCCTGGATACCTGAAGCATAATCCTTGAAATGTTCCATCTCAGAGTTGTACATAAACTCATGCAGTACGGTTATGTACGGTTCAAAGGATAACTCTTCTAACCTAAAACATTTGATTATTCAACATATTTTCATAATACGTATTTTTTCTATTATTCATGCATATTTCTAAATGTTTATCTATCTGAAAATTCATGATAGAAGTAGACAATACTTACTTAAATGGAGCTAGAAGTAAAATGGATTATTTACAATACTTAATTGAATGGAGCTAGAGGTATAAATGGATTAATATAAAGAAGTAGACAACACTTAATTGAATGGAGCTAGAAGTAGAAATGGATTATTATAAAGAAGTAGACAATGCTTAATTGAATGGAGCTAGAAGCAGTAATGGATTATTATAAAGAAGTAGACAATACTTAATTGAATGGAGCTAGAAGCAGTAATGGATTATTATAAAGAAGTAGACAATACTTAATTGAATGGAGCTAGAAGTAGAAATGGATTAATATAAAGAAGTAGACAATACTTAATTGAATGGAGCTAGAAATAGAAATGGATTAATATAAAGAAGTAGACAATACTTAATTGAATGGAGCTAGAAGTAGAAATAGATTACTATAAAGAAGTAGACAATACTTACTTAAATGGAGCTAGAAGTAGAAATGGATTAATATAAAGAAGTAGACAATACTAACTTAAATGGAGCTAGAAGTAGAAATGGATTATTATAAAGAAGTAGACAATACTTAATTNTGATAGATAATGATGATAATGATGATAATGATGATAATGATGATAATGATGATAATGATGATAATGATGATAATGATGATAATGATGATAATGATGATAATGATTGATAATGAATGATAATAATGATGATAATGATGATAATGATGATAATGATAATAATGATAATAATGATGATAATGATAATAATGATCATAATGATCATAATGAATGATAATAATGATGATAATGATGATAATGATGATAATGATGATAATTATAATAATGATGATAATGATGATAATGATGATAATGATGATAATGATAATAATGATGATAATGATGATAATCAACCTATTATAGAATTTACCTGAGTGAATGTTCCCTAGCATCTTTGACAAGTGTATAAAGGGGGAAAATGTTTCTACTTTTCTCCGCTTTTCTCCAACTATTAGATTTCCTGGCTTCACGATACTTCTTCTTTTTCCTAAATAAGATCAAGTTTATTGCTAAAATATATGTATATCTGTGTACAGAACGTGGGAACCATTACAAGTTTACAATTATATTGTATAATACCTGAGTTTAGTATTGAATGGTAGGTGATTACATCTATGCGTCTCTCCAACTACTCCTCTGGTTTCCAACCAATGATCATGAATCTATAAAAAAAAAAAAATTTTAAATCATTGTTTAGAACTTCGGGAGGTAATATTATTAGATTTTAAGAAAAAAGACCTTTAACACTTTAAGAGTGCTAAGTTTGCTAATTTAATGTGTTTAAAGGAACTGTCAGCGTAATTAACCTTCCATTGAAGGAGAGCAAGTTCAAAAAGTACGCCGTAAAAATGTTCAAAAAGTACGCCGGAAAAATGTTCAAAAATAATTATTTTAAATGTTGACAAATATTAACATATGACACATGTTTTTACATCCATTTTCAAGGGCTTTTCAAATATATAAATTTTAGCTCAGTAGCTTCATTATTAATTTTTTAACTAATTTTTTTAGCAAAACTTGTTTACAACTATAGATGTTGAAAAAGTGAAGAAGTTTAAGCTTTCTAATGTAAGCCGTTTTTAAGTTATTTACAAAAAACCACAGGGAGGGAACACCCCCCCCCCCCCTGTGGTTTATGGAATTTATAAAGATGTCTATTTATTATATAGCAAATTCCGATTTTCAATAAGTTCCAAATCGTTTTGGTTAAATCTTTTTGGTCAAGGTAAATATTTAGAATCTATATATATATATATATACTTGGCTTGTAGATGTCTGTTTGTCCGTCGTTTGAATCCAATATACGTCAAAACGGCTGATCCAATTGGGCCCAATTTTTTTGTGGAACCTGACATGACCCCATAAATGGTTTATGGATGATCAAAATGACAAAAATTTCCATCCATCAAAATTTGATTTTCATCAAACTTTAAAAATCCACAAACAAATTGTTCAAAAATTTTTTGTTATTGTTTTATATTTTAAACAAAGAGAAAATGCTCACAATGGAAGCACCCTGAAACCCTAGTAACTTAAATAAAGCAAGCATATCAAGCATACAATTTTGTATAGGATTATAAGCACGAAGCATCTCAAACTCTTGTGGAGCTTCTTAAAAGTCAGAAAGAACCTTTAATGTTTAAAAACTGGATTCATGCAACACGATGCCATCAGCAATCAGCTGACTTATACCTGACTTTTTTAGATAATATTTTGTTGCAATCTTTTAAGCATAAGATGACCCATTTAGTACAGGGAGTCCCAATAAACATGGGAATTCAGTGACGAATTCGATATCGTCTTTTCAAATAAATCTTTGATTTAGTATAGTGATATACCTACTGAGAACGCTGTAAGAGTTTCGCCATTTTGTTTGTTTATGTTTTGACTGCATACGGTTGTACTTAGTAAAACAAGAAAATTGCAGTATACAAACAGAATAAACTTGTCCGTTTCCACTTTTCATCTTGCGGAGACATTATATTTATAGACACATCTTTACAGTCTTTTGCCCTTTCCTTTTCATAAAATAAATTCTAGCAGACATAATAGTATTATGGGTGTTGAAATTAGGTATTACAATGCTAATTCATAACAAGACGATATCCAATTCGTCACTGAACTCCCATGTTTTTTGGGACACCCTTTACCTTGATTGCGTCACGAAGCCGGGAATCGATGGACTCCGTGGTCTCCGTAAACAATTCACCATTTTTTCTAAATAATATTAACAATATTAAATATAAAATATTGTAGAGTGTGGTCGCCGAAATGGTTTTAAAAAGAAAAACGACTTATAGTTTAATTAGATTGTATATATATTTCATTTCATATTTTTATCCAACTACAAAGCACGAGATAATACAAATAAAACAATCACAATTTACTATGTAGTTTGGACCCGCCTAACCAGAGTAGGTTGTTTTAATTGATTGGCCCACTATAAACGAACGAGAATTGCAAATAAAAACAATGTACATTGTACATTTTAAACATAAGAATGATGATAAATTAGGAAAAAGGTAAGGAGGAGGTGAGGGAGTATAAGGGAAAGGGATGATACTCAGCGTAAGGGTTGGAACAGAGGGTAACATATGTTATTAAAATCATGTTTATGAACTACAGGGTGAAGAAGATAGTAAAGACTAAGTTTCTTAATTATCTTAACTAATGGTGCCCCTCCAGGCAAAGATAGCTTAATGTCTAAATAGCAAGGGTATACCCTAGAAACTTTGATCTGATGAAAATAAAAAAATTCATAACATTGTTTTTCTGACTTGAAAAATGGGTTTAATTCCGAAAATTTCTCCATTTTTTCAAGAAATGCACAATTGTTACTTTTGCAGAGAAAGCACAAATGAAAATAAACAGCTTATAAAAAACAGAAAATGGATTCCTCATTCATACTAACTTAATCAGACGTACACAACTTTCAAGAGTACCAATATGAATTGGGCATTGCAACCTTTTCAAAGAGAAGATCTAGCAGATGTTTTTTTTTACCTGTTTGTATGATATTTAATCCTAGCGAGCTGTAACCAGTCTACTCCACTATCATAGAAACCAGCATTTGCTGCATGCATTCCTTCAAATAGTTTAGATGTAGAACTTTTAGAATGTCGTCTTCAATTTATTTCATTTTTAATAAAATCAGTTCAAATTAAGCTTGTATTAATTAATTAATTAGTTAAACTTAGGTGTCCTAACTTCTGACTATGTTTGCCCGGTCCTTAAAGCGGTTAAAATATAGCTTTTAAACCATTTTATTTATTTAATTAGTAAATCTGAACTTTGAAACTCTCCGAAAGTTTTCTTAGTGTAAACAGAGACTATTTACATTCTTTGACGAATCTTTTTTTGTGTAGACAAAGCTATGTCGGCCGGAAGTTAAAATAAATTTGTGTTTGCATCGTTTTTTGGCACATTCATATTATAAATACAAGGCGTCCCAAAAACATGGGAATTCAGTGACGAATTTGATATTGTCTTTATTATGAATTAGCATTGATAATACCTAATTACAAAAGCCATAATATTATTATGTCTGCTATAGAGTTTATTTTATGAGAAGGGTAAAAGACTGTAAAGATGTGTCTATAATGTCTCCGGAAGATGAACAGTGAAGACGGACAAGTTTACACTATTTATATACTGCAATAATTTCTTGTTTTACTAAGTACAGCCGTATGAAGTCAAAACATAAACAAACAAAATGTGAACATAGCAGACGAAACTCTTACGGATTACACCTTTCTCAGTAGGTATCACTATACTAAATCAAAGAATTATTTTAAAAAAAAACTATATCAAATTCGTCAATGAATTCCCATGTTTATTGGGACACCCTGTATATATATTTATTTATATATCAACACAAATCAAAGACGACTAAAAATTAATTTTTCTATCATTTACCTATTTCAGTAAGCTCATCTGCACCAAGGGTATGTTCACTTTTAAAAATCTGAAACCAAACGTCATAAATATAATTTTCTATTCATTTAAATTTATTTAAAAATTTGCCAATCTGTAAATACCTGGTTTTCATATTCAATTATTCCCTCTGCAACAAGTGAAATATTCAACCTGTAGTGTTCCTTAACATTCAGGTGTCTTGTCTTGTCTTGTCTTGTCTTGTCTTGTCTTGTCTTGTCTTGTCTTGCCTTGTCTTGTCTTGTCTTGTCTTGTCTTGTCTTGTCTTGTCTTGTCTTGTCTTGTCTTGTCTTGTCTTGCCTTGTCTTGTCTTGTCTTGTCTTGCCTAATCTTTTACCTGTAACAGATGAATACCATTAGCGGCTCCGGAAAAATCTGACATTTTTGGAAATTCCTAAATCATTCTGTTTATCAAACATTTGATTTAAATATTGATTTTATTTTACCGTAATAATGTGGATTAACTTAAACTTAAATTTTTTAATCTCAACTACTACTTTTAATCTTTATAACTATTTTTAATCTTTACAACTATTTAAATTTTTTCAACTTTTTTAATCTTTTAATCTAATTTGTCTTGCAGAATTCACAGCTGTAAAACATCTACAGTATCAGAATACAAAGATAAAGTGATTCAAAATAAATGGATTACTTTTAGGATGATGGAACGACTAAAAGTTGAGCTTAATATTTAATGATAAATGAATGTTTTGCCTGGATAAGACTGTTTAGTTCTGTTTGCAACTCTAATGTTTTTTTTTCTGCCAATAGCTCATGGATTCCGTACTTATGCATTTCTAAAATAGATAACATTAATAGTAATAATAATAATAATAATAATACTAACAATAATACTAATTATAACAAAAAATAATAATGATACCTAATCCCAATCGTTTAACGAGTGCTATCGAGTTTACAGGATTAGAAACATATTCCTCCGGAGTCTCCACCCCTCTCCTTGGCTTGTTAAATTTTAAATATCTTCGAAGTTTCGAAACCTTTTTCTCTAACTCTATCGTTAAAGTCTCCAAGTTTAAGAAAAATTTGTCTTCTTTTTTCACAAGTTTTGAAAGTTCTTTCACGGAGGAAAATATATCATTGTCGGGTTTTTCACATATACTTGGATTAATGGTAAATATGAAAATCATATAAATTGATATGCTTGGTTTCAACATTCCAAATCTAAAAACGTGAAAATTATAAATAAACCTTAAATCACGTCAAGCTAAATGTCTCGTAAGAGATTGAAGTCTAACGTGAGTTCAATCATAACTCCTCTCTGATAGGATAATATGGTACTAATATGGTAATAGGGTAATTAGGAAAATATATACAGGGTGTCCCAAAAAAACATGGGAATTCAGTGACGAATTCGATATCGTCTTTGTTATGAATTAGCATTGTAATACCTTATTTCTAAAGCCATAATATTATTATGCCGGCTAGAGTTTATTTTATGAAAACGGTAAATGGCTGTAAAGATGTGTCTATAATGGCTCCCCAAGATAAACAGTGAAGACGGTCAAGTTTACTCTGTTTGTATACTGCAATTTTCTTGTTTTACTAAGTATGCAGTCAAAACATAAACAAACAAAATGTGAACAAAGCAGACGAAACTCTTACAGATTACAGCTATCTCATGTTTATTGGGACACCCTGTGAGGTACATAAAATTGTGAAATAGAAAGACGTCTTTAAACAATCTTATGTGTCTTTCATGTTGTTTTTAAGCAACAAGTTTACAGTAGCTTGAACATCACATGTTATTAAGAACAAATATTAGAAATTGCAGACTAAACGTTAAAAGTAGTAAATTTCACTTTTAGATTTAAATCTAAAATGTTATTAATCACTATAACTACTCTTATGGAAAAGGCCAAATACGTTTAGAAGTTATATTATGCAGCCATACTTCAAAATCCGAGGAGCTACGAGGTCAAAAAGTCTAATCGGAATAAAATATTCGAGAATAAAGTTGATATGTTAAAGATTTAAACCGTATTTATTTGTTTATGATCTAAACGCATTGACCTCTAAAAGACCATATATTAATGTTATTTTCCCTGAAATTTGATCCAAAAGTTAGTATCCAACCAAAAAATGATATTTCATTGTTTATATTTTCCCTCTGTACCGGCTTTTGTTATGGTCAACTGACTATAGATTAGTATAAGCCTGTGCGCGCTATACTACCTCTCCATGTATCGTTCAGGTTACTACAAGGGAAAATTTTACGCTTCGTTCATATCTCTGGTTGGTCCACATTGCAATTATACATTGCACGTACAAAACCTAAGCGTATATATATATATATAAAATCATAAGGTTACTTTAAAGAATCCAAAACTATACAAATTCATAAAATTCCTATAAATTACTCAGGTTTCCTATTTCAGCCATAACTTCTTTTATTGAAGAGCTATTTTGAAAAACAGGTGTGTTTTGATTTCTAATAAGAAGTAGGATTTAATTGTAATGGAATAAACGCCAACCACTGTTTTTTAGTTTGAGGCGGTTGTTTTCACTGAATAAGTGATTTTGAGATCATTTTCAGGTCAAGTTTTTCCGAAGCGAAACGTAACACCGAACACGACGAATTTTGGTAATATTGTACGCCACATACATTTGCAGAAAAACTAAAGGATCTACGAGGTCACTAAGTCCTACACGTAATGTCGCATAAATTTTACTTTCTCCTTTTGTCTAGTCTGAAGTGGTCTAGTCTAGTCTAGTCTAGTCTAGTCTAGTCTAGTCTAGTCTAGTCTAGTCTAGTCTAGTCTAGACTAGTCTAGTCTAGTCTATTTGACAATATAAGAGATTTTGTTTTAATGTTAAAACACAAGCCACGTCGATAAATTATTACTGAAAGAAAATATCGTTGTAATATCAAGTAACCTTCCATTTAAATAGGGCNAGCAAACTCTACAGAGGTTTGGTCCATCACCATCACTGAATTTTAAATCTTAGAACTATAATCAATCCAATATGATGTGGGTCACCCTGTAGATTACATTTTAATTAATTTTTAGTGAATTAAAAGTGATTACAAGAGAAACATGTGCATTGCAAGAGAAACACGTGCAAAAAGATTTATCTTAACAACTAAATCTATCAATTTTGATAAAAAGTTGGGTTTTATCATCTACAGTTGTAAACCGACTTAATCAAAACTATGTTCAAGAATTATCTTAAACGATTTTGTAAGAAAGTTAAGAAAAACTAAAACAGCTATTCTTGGTATAGTGATCGTTCAAATACCTCCTTAGTCTTTTTATTTTGTTCAATAATTTTAAAATTTTACAAAAAATATTAATAATTAATTTTCTGACTCTATGCTCTAGAAAAAATTGGACTATCTCTGTTCCTAAAATTAACATTTTGACTATATATATATATATATTGAAAAGTATAAAGAATAATATACAAAAAATTATTTAATTTATTAATTAGGAGTATATAAGAAAACGAATAGAAACAAATTTGAAATATTTTGACAAGACATAGAAGAAAATTAAACTATTGTATCTTTTGCCATTATTTATTTCCCTGTTGGCTTTTCATATTTATTTTATAGTTAATACTTTTTAAATTATTGTATAGTTCTTCTTGATTTCCCTCTGTCTTCTTTATTTCTCTGTATCTTCTTTATTTGCCTGTATCTTCTTTATTTGCCTGCTAATTTCTTTTCTTGAATATCTTTCATGACAAATTTCTGTATTTTGCCAGTGATAGTTGTAGGAAATGATTCAACAAGCTCAATGTAGCGAGGGATTTTGAAGTGAGCCAACTAAAAAAAAATATTGATTTAATATTCTTCAAATAGAATACTTGTCTTTTAATAGTTTTTAAGAAATGAACTAGCTGTTATTTGCTTTAAATTCTAATTTATAATCCTTTTTATGATTGCACACCATTGATATTTTAAACGGGGATAGTAATCGAGCTTACAATAGATATGTTTTAGACTATTGAAAGTATACGACACCAGACATGAGAACTTTCGTGCTATTTACCCATAATCCCAATCCCTTGATCTAGATATCCGCAGTAGGTCCTTTTGAAATAATTCAGAATTTGCTTGGTTCAATTGATCTGTCTATTAACATAAGATCTAAATCAAACATCTCGATATATCTTGATATACACAATACAAGAGTTCTCAGCTCAGGACACAAAGATATAAGAATACACAAATGACTGGAACTTTTTGAATTGTCTAATTGAATGGTTTTGAGGCTTAATTTTCAGAAAGTACAGAAGTCAACATTTAACTATTAAAACACATCAAAAGCAAATTGTTTCTTGATTAAGTTTTTCCGAAGGGGGTTTTTCAGTAACAGTTTCCCAGTCTATATATTACGTAGTTCATGAACATTGTCACCTTTCCCTTGCAGAACTGTTTAATATCTTGAGAGTTTAGGTTGGAGCCCGGGATTTCTTTGATCCAAGCCACCAGCTCCTCTCCCAGCCGCTCATCAGCTATACCGAATACCTGGAAAATACAGTCATCGTCGTATATATCAATACAACGAAGACGAAATTTTACTTCAATTTTGATCTTTTCCAAGCTTTCCAACAGCCAGCTTGGATACACACAAAAATGGAAACAAGGAGATTATTTTAATGACTATTGTAAACTCAATTTAAAATTCGGTGTTGATGATGGAACTAACCTATGTAGAGTAAAAAAAATAGATATTAGTTCCACATTATTTAAAATATATTTCGGTCTGGGTTGACCCATGTCAGTTCTAACGATGTAATAACCATCAAAATCGATAAAAAAAAAATTTAAAAAAATTGTTAAAAATCACAGGAAAATAAACAAAAAAAAGATTATTCAAAATAAAATTAGTTGTAAACTCATAATTTGAAAAAATCTCGTTAGAAATCAAAACCTTAAAAGAAAAACCATTTTCATTGTATTGATATAAACGCCGACCGCATATGAATATTTACAAATAAAAAATATTCTACATCTGAAAAAGAAAATAAAAATATTTTTTATTACTTCAATTCTTTGTTTTTTTTTATCAATTAAAGAATTGTTTAGACCTGTGCTTCCTGTATGTGTGGATGTGTGTGCAAAAACTCCTCGATTTCTCTTAAACAAAATATTTAAAAAATTATTTTTTACAACTTTGTTTCCTAGAATTTTGTTGAAGCAATGACAGAAACAACTTGTTATTTTTAATTGCAACAATTTCTTTCAATTTCTAAAGAACTTCCTATTTACGTCTTTGGTTCGTAAAACCGAATGAAAAGCTAATTAGAAATGTCAGCAAATTAAAACCTGTCAATTCTTGTTAAAAAGGAAAATATTTAAGGAACAAAGAACACGATTTCATGTCATTTCATCTTTCAAGGGTTTCATTCCCTTCAAACGTATAGAGCTCTATTCAAATGAATTCTGTTAAACCAAAAAGTCTAAGTTTGAAATATCAAAAGTTTAACTAACAGGTTGCAAATATATGTATTTGCAAAAAATTAATTAACTTTCAAATTTAAAATGAGGAACAACTGTTAAAGAACTAACCTTGGATAAATATTTTCTCCACCTCGGATAATCATATCTTTCATTCGTCCGACAATCTGTCCATATCCATTCTTATCCATTACAGCAATATCCCTGCAAATAACAATATAATTAATATCCATTCTTATCCATTACAGCAATATCCCTGGATATAATAATATAATCAATATCCATTCTTATCCATTACAGCAATATCCCTGCAAATAACAATATAATTAATATCCATTCTTATCCATTACAGCAATATCCCTGGATATAATAATATAATCAATATCTATTCTTATCCATTACAGCAATATCCCTGGATATAATAATATAATTAATATCCATTCTTATCCATTACAGCAATATCCCTGCAAATAACAATATAATTAAAATCCATTCTTATCCATTACAGCAATATCCCTGTAAATAACAATATAGTTAAAATCCATTCTAATCCATTACAGTAATATCCCTGTAAATAACAATATAATTAATATCCATTCTTATCCGTTACAGTAATATCCCTTGAGAAGTTATACACTGGAACCGAATTTAAACAGGAGATATCGCTAAATACCTACACCGGTTAAAATCATTAATCACCTATTTGAAACCTAATGAATCTTTAACTTTGAATCGGTAATTCTTGATTTGAATCGGTGATTCAGAATTTCAATCAGTAATTCAGGATTTGAATCGTTGATTCAGGATTTGAATCGATGATTCAGGATTTGAACTGGTGATTCTGGAATTGAATCGGTGATTCAGGATTTGAATCGGTGATTCAGGATTTGAATTGGTGATTCAGGATTTGAATCAGTGATTCAGGATTTGAATCAGTGATTCAGGATTTGAATCGGTGATTCAGGATTTGAATCGGTGATTCAGGATTTGAATCGGTGATTCAGGATTTGAATCGGTGATTCAGGATTTGAATCAGTGATTCAGGATTTGAATCAGTGATTCAGGATTTGAATCAGTGATTCAGGATTTGAATCAGTGATTCAGGATTTGAACCAGAGGTAGGCAGTTTAGGGACCTATCTCAAATTCATTAAGTTCGGTCCAGCTGTACATCTTTATCACTTGATACAGCTTGTTAATTTTAAAACGCTCTGCACCGAAGGTCAAAGTTGGAAACTTATGTATTAATAAAGAGAGTTAGTTGAACTATGTCCAGCTAGATCAAATATACCCTGTATGGAACCATCTATCAGGAGTGATGGACTCTTCTGTTTTCTCCTTGTCCTCCCAATACCCGAGCATGGTAGAGTAACCTTAAATGGATTATATAAATATTATTTTAAAGGGACTGTAAGCGTGATTTCAAGTGACTCTGTATAATAAGATGGTATTCTTGATTCACAACGGTACCATCAAAGCTTTGTCTGATAAGGTATGAATTAAATATTAATATTATATTTGTATTGATTATCAGAATTGAACACTTTTAAATCAAAGTGTCGAGAGTACCATTGTAAATCGGGCATTGCCATCTTTGCAATAATATCACTATAGTTTCAGTAGAAGTTAATATTTCCATTTACTGATAGCGCCGATTGAAGGATTCATAACTTTGATTGGATAATGAGATAGATAGAAAGATAGATGTTACCGCTATACTATTTTGATTGGTTTAGAATAGACAATAAACACATGATTGAACCCTGATTGGATCATGCGCTAATGGACTCGGCATACAGGAGTGATGTTGGCCTTATTTTTTTGAAGTTCTAGGTATGTAATCAATTCTCCTACTAGTGCTTGAAAATTAAAACTAGGCAGCTACGAGGGCATTGAGTCGTACCAGTTATGACCTTCTCTTACTGTCTGGTCAAGTGTTCTTGGATTTCTTCAACCAAGACAGACAAGAAAATGGTCCATGGTTACTGTAGTGAATCATTGATGGAACATTTAAATTGATAAATGGGTAGAAAACACAGTTGAAGTATTTTTAATTATATTTAGTTTTTTTCATAAGTCTAAAATAAACTTTTTCTCTTTGGCTTTTTTATTAAATTTTATGTATACATTTTTAATGATAAAGGTTTACAATGTTATGATGTCTGTGACATAAACTTAAGCAGAGAGTGTCATAGGAGACATCTGTTGGTGAGAAAATGAACTAATTATTCCTACCTCTGGTGCACAGTTCTCCAGACTGACCTACAGGAACTATTTTACCATCAGAGTCCATTACTGCAACCTAACAATATATAATTACAAAATTACAATTTTTTCGAAATTTTATTTTTTACTCACAAAGATTGTACAAGCAAAATAAACACGAAGCAATCGTTAAATTCTTATAATTAAAAAGGATTGACCTAAAACATCATAAACTATTTTTTTGTGTCTCAACTATAAGCATACTTAAATAAACGACAGTATATTTCAAACCAAAAAAACCGCATTTCAAGTTTATTTCAGAAATAAGAAAATAGTATTTTACTTTAAAAAAGGTGCCTTCAGTATAAATAATAAATACTTGATAATGTTCTTGGTCTAAACTAGTTTTTATTCGTATAATTAAAGGTTGTTTAAACCCCCCCCCCCTCCCGAAAATCTGAAAAATTTTCTTGTGTCTTTTAAAACAATGTACACTTCTTCTCAAGACTAAAATATACAACAGTAGGAAACAAAAAAGCAAAAAAGTGTTTATATAATACACAAAGTAAATATTTGGGAATCCACTCAACGGATTTATTTTTGAGAGAGGTTTGGTCCACATTCAAACAATAAACAATAAACATCAAGAGTATGAATACATATTTTCAACAGAATACCTTTCCTCAATTGTAAACTAAACATTTAATAGAAAAGTAAACTTTCAGAAATATTTAGACATTAAATTCACAAAAACAACTTTTTACCAAACCTGCTTGAAAAACAATTAAACAAACGCAAAAAAAAACTATATCTTTAAAGATATTTTTTCTTTATGCCATAAATGAAATTAAACATTTGGTCACTAAACTAAACGTACAAGACTCAGTAACTAGGAGTACAGGGAGACAGAGAAAAATGTCAAACCCAAGTTAAACGAACACAGTACACACATAACAAGATAATCAACAAGATCGAAATGCCTGCATTCATCTGTCAACGCCAGGGAGTAAGAAATAGAAGGAAGAAATAACTGACGCGGTTCGCCAAACCATATGATTATACATGCTTTGCAGACAGGTACTCCATTTGAATAAGAAATATTTGTCTGATTTACAATTACCACGTATACAATTACCTGTTCTGAATATTTCATATACATATGGAGTACCGTCTGCAAAGCATGTATAATCATATGGTAGGGTGAACCGCGTCAGTTTTATCTCTCTTCTATTCCTTACTCCCTGGTCAACGCTGTATTGCCCTGGAGAGCCTAGGGGTTTTCTACCTCTCTGGGTCTAGACTTGCTATGGAAAAGCTCGACTTGCACTCCTTAGAAACAGGTCTGGTGACCCAGTTTTTAAGTAAAACCTACAACCCATGGGAAACATGTTAATATCCATCAACCACAGATCTTCATAATGTGGAGAAGCATCGAGTACAGGTATAATTTACAAGTACTGCCCAAAATGTTCTTACACATCAGTTTCAAGACTCCAACTGTTGATAATCTAATCCTAGCCAAAACTCCTTTTATCACATTTTTCATTATTTATAAGTGGAGATTCTGACATTTGGGTCCTTCAAAATTTTCAAAATTCTACGGTTGGTGCAGTGTTCGTTTTTCTTGCCTCACCCTTCAACAGAGTAGTAAACATTAATTACGTGTATATAGATCTATATTTAGCATAGTCATCAACATTCAACAATCTACAAACCTGCTAAAATATATATTGAGCTAATCTTCTTTGCAACAAACAAGAAATATCAGACAGCATTGAAAAAGAAACAGCAATTAGCAGAATTCTGAACCGATGGATAAGAAGAATGAATTTTTAACAATATAAACAAACAAATAATCTTACTTAAATTTTTTCTAGATTTTTTCACTCTTAGCCATGAATGAAACTAAATATTTAGTTACTAACCTCAACATGGTTTGAAGGAAACCCAATAGTACCAGTCTTTTTTTCCATATCATCAGAACAGAAACCCTCACATAATAATAATTATTATTATTATTGTTATTATTAATTATTATTATGATTGTTATTAGTATTATTATTTTTCATTATATTATAACTATTATTATTAAAATTATTATTAAAATTATTATTGGTATTTTTAATATTATTATCATTATTATTAACAGAAGACATTTAAGCAATACTTGATGTTACTTGATGTAGCTCTACAAAGCAAATAGCTTTAATAGTAAGTTATCAAATGACGTATTAAGTGAAATGAGTTTTTCTACACTGCACAATTTCTGCGTTTCTCTTTCTTTGGATTTGCTTAGTCAAACCTTGAATTTAAAAATTGACTTCCTATTTTAGAGTTTTCTGGTTCTCACAGTACTATTATTATTTTTTATAGTTGTTATTTTGATTATTATTTATATTGATATTATCGTTACCTGGAATGTAACAGGGCTAGTTTCTGTCATCCCATAGCAGACAACAAAATCTTTCATATTCAACTCATTTACAACATTCTAGGAAATATTACATTATTGTGTACGTTATCATTCATGCTCACTTTAGTGTAAAAATTCAATAAAGCCGTGTTAAAACTTTTAATTAGATATATATTATAGCACCGTATTATTGCTATAGCTTTTTAGTTTTATTTTACAAATATTAGGATATTTCTAGAAGAACTTTTTCAATTCAAATGAAAATAAGATTTAAACTTTCATGTGCAAAAAGCTTTCTAGCTATGTAAAGATCATTAAAGATCATTAGATCAGTACAACTTACAAGTACACACACACACATTTCATAAAATTACCTATTATTTTTACGTGTTATAAATTTTTTACTTATCATTCATATCAGTTTTATGCAGGGTTGCTGGCACAACTTTTCCTACCTGGATCGCAACTCCTCCAAGAGTGAGGAAGTTAGCTTGATTGTAAACAAATACAATACCTTACATAATTCCTTAGGACAGGGAGCTCCAGCCATTATTCCAGTCTCTACCCGACTAAATTAATACATTTTTTAAATAAAAATAAAAATAAAAACAAATTTTGAAAACTTTTTTGATTTTTTGCATTAAATTGACGATTGATTTTAGTAATTCTGTTTTTAACCAGCAAATAAGTTCATAGTAAATTTCAAGGTTTTCTTAAATCATTAATGATTTTAAAAATTGTAAAAAAATAAAGTGTTATAATTTTGTTTGTAAAAAAGGTTTCTCAGCTTTTTCTTCTTACCTAACATCAGGTTTAATTTGACGAGCACTAGCGAGTATATCAACAAACATTGTCGGGGTTCCATAAATACTTGTGCACTTTTCTGATTCTATTGCCTGGGTCATAATCATAATCATAATAATAATCATAATCATAATCATAATCATAAATACTAGTACGTACTTTTCTGATTCTATAGCCTGGATCATATTAACATTGAAAACAAAGAGAAAATTTAAACATCGCTAATTCAAATTAGAAAAAAATATCTATTGATAAAAATTTTATTAAAAAAAGCTAATTTTGTAAACAGTTATATTATAGAAAGTGAGCTGGGAACTTTTGAATGGTGGATATCATCTCCTCTTTTTCATAATCTCCAGATTAAATAACGCTTGTTCTCCTCTTATTACCAATCTCCAGATTAATTAACCGATTGGGATTAAGGATATCCAATTCTAAAGTTTTCAGCTCTGATTAGTGGAATTGTATCTTTGAAGCCTGCGTTTTTATGAACAGTGAATTGACGATTTTTACAACAGAAGATCGAAACGGGGAATTTTTATAAACCAACACATTTACAGAAAATGAAAATATCTTCCTAATTTTTGCTAAGATTAAGGTGTTCAAGGTACCTACCGTTAAGAATAAAAATGTCACTCTAACAATGAAGTCTCAATTGAAATGAATTTAATATTCCAGTTAAAAAATTTAGCGTTTTTTCATTATTATGATATTTTTCCTTTGCACATTCAAGTCCATTAAAACTAGGGGCAGGGTACACGTTAGTTGCTCCATACAACATACCACTAAAAAAAGGGTTACAAAATATTCTTTGACAATTTTAAAAGATTGTTACTGGAATGGACTGGACTGGACTGGGGACTAGACTGGACTGGACTGGACTGGACTGGACTGGACTGGACTGGACTGGACTGGACTGGACTATATTTGCTTTTCTGGGTGTTTGTTTGTCTGTTTGTTTGTGTCCAATAAACGACAAAACGGCTAAACCGATCGGGCCCAATTTTTTGTCGGACCTCGCGTGACCTCAGGAAAGGTTTATGGATAATTAAAATTCAAAAAATTAGCCTCCAACAAAATTCAATTTTTATGAAATTCTAGAAGTCCACGAATTATTGTTATAAAATCAGCTTTTATTTGTTTTTGTTTTACAATTTATACAATGAGAAAATGTTCACAATTGAAATAGAAGATGGACGCGAAGCGCATTGTAAGCCTAGCATATATATATATATTTATATATATTTATTTACCCCATGGATCCTGCTACATTTCCGAAGCAATGATATAAAGGAACTGAAACACAGATGCGATGTGCCTGAAATTTTTTTTTGATTTTTTAATTACATGTTCCTGGAAAGAAATAATTTAAAAAAAAATGCCAGCAAGAAAATTAAACTTACTTTTAATTTTGATTATTGATAATTGAAATAAGCTTTGTTTGTTATTTTATCTGAAAATATAATATTAAAGATATCTAGAATTTTAGATTTCTATAGATAATGAACATATCTACCTTATTCCCATATCCTATTCTGTTGCCAATTTGAAAAGCGTTGTTAACAATATTGTGATGAGACAATGTAACACCCTTCGGGTTCCCTAAATAGAAAATGGAGTTGGATCCCTTTAGTTTAAAAAAGGGATGAATTAATCACTATTTTTCGGTTTGGTAGTTTTCAATAAAACTTTGGAATAGAAAAACGATATTTTTACTTTATGCTCTCAAATATTTTTTGAAGTAGCTTTAAAAAAACGTATTAATTAAAATGGACCTGTGTACACTGCACAGTTGATAAGTTTGTTCATTGGACAGTTCAAATAATAATTTAGGTCTAAAAGTCCTCTTCCGATTCAATAGTTTTATGAGTCCCATTGTAAGATATTATAAATTAATTAAAGTCTCAAAAAAATCTGTCTAGAGGAGGGGGGTGGGGCACAAAATATAGAAGGGGGTAGGGAGTAGGAGTAGGAGTAGGGGGCTACAAAATACTTATGTCATCAAGGATAATGATTGGACTTTTAAAGTGTTTGGTGTGAATAATTATACACAAGGGAATAACAGTTTAAATATCATAAAGTTACTTCGTTCGCACCTTGATTAGCCCCTTCCTCGTCCCTCCTCCTCCCCCCCATCCTTTGGAGGGGTATTTACTTTAATTGATTAATTTTTTAAAGGGACTGTCTTTGAAATTTCAAGTTACCTCTATACAACAGAAAAGTTACTTTTGTAGAAAAACTACAATTTTTTTAAAAGATAAACATTGCTATATCTCATTCCTTCTTGATTGGACAATATGTTTAAAGATAAACATTGCTATATCTCATTCCTTCTTGATTGGACAATATGTTTAAAGATAACCATTGATATATCTCATTCCTTCTTGATTGGACAATATGTTTAAAGATAAACATTGCTATATCTCATTCCTTCTTGCTTGGACAATATGTTTAAAGATAAACATTGCTATATCTCATTCCTTCTTGCTTGGACAATATGTTTAAAGATAAACATTGCTATATCTCATTCCTTCTTGATTGGACAATATGTTTAAAGATAAACATTGATATATCTCATTTGTTCTTGATTGGGCAATATGTTTAAAGATAAACATTGCTATATCTCATTCCTTCGTGATTGGACAATATGTTTAAAGATAAACATTGCTATATCTCATTCCTTCTTGATTGGACAATATGTTTAAAGATAACCATTGCTATATCTCATTTGTTCTTGATTGGACAATATGTTTAAAGATAAACATTGCTATATCTCATTCCTTCTTGATTGGACAATATGTTAAACGATACCGTTATAAATCTAACCCAACCCGAACCTGTTGTTCCTGAAGTAAACTGAATATTTGCTGGAGAATCCATCTTTACAATTCTTGACAATAAATCCACCTGACATTAAAAAGAATAAGTCCTGAAAATATTTATACGTATTTATTTTCCAGACAAAGATTGGTTTCCGAAATGAAACTAAATAAATTTGGTTTGACTGGATTTTTGCTTGTTTTCCCTCAGTATAAACACTAAAACAGCTGATCCGGTTTGGCTGGAATTATTTTTATAGAGTATTGCCTAACCCCAAGAAATATGGTTGCATGTGCTTCCCTTAAACTTTTTTTAAAAATTGTACAATATTGAAAACTACGATATTCTGCTCTTTTGTGCGCATGTCAAAAAAGTAATATCTTGATTTTTTTATTTTTTATTGAAGTTTTTCGTAGAAAAAAGAAAAAGTAATTAAGTTCTAGCCACAAACTCTGATTTTCTAATCCCTATATCTTTGCAAACCGATATTTTTGACCTTAGATACTTCAAACTATGAATTCTGTCGGATCAACAAATATTAGTTCGAAATATCAAAGGTTTCCAGCATCAAGCTGCAAAGATATAGAGATTAGAACTTAGTGGCAAGATCTCAGTTCCTTTCCTAAAACTTTCTTGAATTTAAAGTCAGTATTTTTTACCTTTTTCAATGACTCTGATCCAGCACCAGTTTGTACGTCTTTGTACTTGTGGGAACCACTTGAAACAAAATAAATTTTTTAATTAATTCAAAATTAAATAAATAGATAATTTGATAATTGATTGAATGATTGAATGATCTATCAGCTGGTTTGCTTTTTATTTATCAGTTTATTTTTGGTTGCTTAATTGTTTGAAGTATTCATCGATTAATTGATTAGTTGGTTGGTTCCTTGCTTAATTGTTTGAAGTATTGATTGATTGATTGATTGGTTAATTGGTTGCTTAATTGTTTGAAGTATTGATTGATTGATTGATTGATTAATTGGTTGCTTAATTGTTTGAGGTATTGATTGATTGTTTGATTGGTTGGTTAGTTGCTTAAATGTTTGAGGCTGATAGATTAAAAGATTGTTTGTTTAATTGGTTGATCATGATCAACAATTGATTTATTTTGAATGGTTGGTACATTGATTTATTCGTTGGTTTATTGTTTAATTGATGATTAATTGTGTGATTTATTGTTAGAGTGGTTTATTGTTTGATTGATTGATTTGTTGATTTATTGTTTGAATGGTTTATTGATTGATTGATATATATAGTTTGATTTTTAATTGATTGATTGATTAATTGATTTATTGTTTGAAGAGTTGGTGGATTGAATAACATGGTTTGTCAATTTGTTGAACAGTTGATTGGTTGACCGATTGGTTAGTTAATGTTTGAACGGTTGGATAATTGATTGAATGATCGATTGTTTTATTCTTTGGATGGTTTGTTGATTGTTTTCTTGGTCGGTTAAATGATTGAACGATTGATCGATAGATTGATTGGATGGAAAATGATTTACCTTTTATAAGAATCAGTTATGATAATAACATGCTTGAGGCTGGGAACCTATAGATTCATGTATACACTTTCAAATTGAAAAATCAAACGGTTGCAAGCAAGCTTTCTCAAACAGTGTTAAATAACTTTCTAAAGAAAACAGAACAAATTTTAAATTAATGGTTTGGCTAAATACTTTAACTACTTTAGGAACTGATCGAAATTTTTTTGTTAATATATTGATTTTGAATTAATTCATACAGTATTTAAAAAAAAATGAGCTTTAAGGTTGATTTTAATTAATTTACATAGTATAAAGAATTGTTATCACTGAATAAACTATGAGACAGATTTTAAGTATCTTTATGTTGAGTTGTTTTCCTTTATAATTCTAATATGGGTTCACTAAACCAGGATGAAAAAGTGGTTTGTCATTAAAAAAGACAATTGCAGGCCATCAAAAAATCCCTGGAGATTTTTCCATTAGTCAATCAAAAAAAAACGACTTTAATAACATTAAAATAAGTTTAATAATTCATTGATTAATTGATTGAGTGTATGTATCCCTGGTCACTTGATATTCCTCCTGGCGTTGAAGTTTCTAGTTCAGGTATAACAGATCTTATTAAGCTGTGGTAATCCTAAATACAGATCCTATTACGCTGTGGAAATCCTAAATACAGATCCTATTAAGCTGTGGTAATCCTAAATACAGACCCTATCAAGCTGTGGTAATCCTATAAAATACAAACCCTATCAAGCTGTGGTAATCATAGATACAGATCCTTTCAAGCTGTGGTAATCCTAAATACAGATTCTATCTAGCTATGGTAATCCTAAATACAGATCCAATCAAGCTGTGGTAATGCTAAATACAGATCCTGTTAAGCTGTGGTAATCCAAAATACAGATCCTATCAAGCTGTGGTAATCCTAAATACAGATCCTATGAGCTGTGGTAATCCAAAATGCAGATTCTATCAAGGTCTAGAAATCCTAAATGTAGATTCTATCAAGCAGTAGTAATCCTAAATACAGATCCTTTTAAACTGTGGTGATCCTAAATACAGATCCTATCAAGGTGTGGCAATCCTTAATACAGACGCTTTTAAGCTGTTGTAATCCTAAATATAGACCCTATCAAGCTGTGGTTATCCCAAATACAGATCCTATTAAGCTGTGATAATCCTAAATACAGATTCTATTAAGCTGTGGTAATCCTAAACACAGATCCTATCAAGCTGTGGTAATCCTAAATACAGATCCTATCAAGCTGTAGTAATTCTAAATACAGACGCCTTTAATCCGTGGTAATCCTAAATACAGACCCTATCAAGCTGTGGTAATCCTAAATACAGATCCTATCAAGCTGTGGTAATCCCAAATACAGATTCTATTAAGCTGTGGTAATCATAAATACAGATCCTATAAAGGTGTGGTAATCCTAAATACAGACCCTATCAAGCTGTAGTAATTCTATATACAGACGATTTTAAGATGTGGTAATCCTAAATACAGACTCTATCAAGGTGTGGTAATCCTAAATACAGTTACTTTCAATTTAAAAGATCTTCCAGCGAGACTCATAAAACTGTGAAATAGGAAGACGACTGTACGTTAGACTCAATTTATGAATTTAACTAGTACAATGAAAATGATTGTCCAGTGTACATATAACAAGTTGAATTTTAATCTATACTGGTGAAACTATTTGCTTTATAACAACATTAAATACACAGAAAATTTCTAACAAAAGTATTTTATTCCAGCAAAGTGTCAAGTTTATCTTAAAATTTATGTAAACTTTCTCTGCTTTTCCTTGTGATACATTTTTCAACAAAACGAAACATTAAGTTTGTAACTACATATATTCCCATAGTTTGGAACTACATTTATTCCCATAGTTTGGAACTCCATATATTACCATAGTTCGGAACTACATAAATTCCCATAGTTTGGAACTACATATATTCCCATAGTTTGGAACTCCATATATTCCCATAGTTTGTAACTACAAATATTCCCATAGTTTGGAACTATATCTATTCCCTATAGTTTGGAACTACATATATTCCCATAGTTTGGAACTACATATATTCCCATAGTTTGAAACTACATATATTCCCATAGTTTGGAACTACATATATTCCCATAGTTTGGAACTAAATATATATCCCATAGTTTGGAACTACATATATTCCCATAGTTTGGAACTACATATATTCCCATAGTTTGGAACTAATACTACCTGAGTTTTAAAAGTTTCGTTGCATAGAAGAGCTTTGACCTGAACCTACAATAATGAAAATGATAAAAAATAAATAATATATTGTTTAAAATTCTAAATTAGCATATAAACTGAAGGTTTTCTTATTTTCACAGTTTTAGATATATTTTTTTTTTTTTTTTGGGGGGGGGAGTCTATACTTTTCTTAAATCGGAACTTCACCCCCATTCAAGATTTATTAAAGTATATCATTTGAATTAATGTTGCCATTTAAAATTTAAAAATAAATATTAATAGAAGTTGTTATATTTTTCTTTACCTTGTTTAAGCAATATTTGAGCTCGCTTGCTTGGTAGGCAGGATTTATATTCACAAGAACCAACCCAGCCTTAGCAGCTGCAAACTATACAAACAACACTTAATACTCGGGGGCCCTGGGATTGAAAACTAGACAAACAACACTTAATACTCGGGGGCCCTGGGAGTGAAAACTATTCAAACAACACTTAATATTCGGGGGCCCTGGGAGTGAAAACTATGCAAACAACACTTAATACTCGGGGGCCCTGGGAGTGAAAACTAGTCAAACAACACTTAATACTCGGGGGCCCTGGGAGTGAAAACTATTCAAACAACACTTAATATTCGGGGGCCCTGGGAGTGAAAACTATTCAAACAACACTTAATACTTGGGGGTCCTGGGAGCGGATTATTTTTTGTAGTGTGAACCTAGAATTGATTATTGCTACTGTGGGGCCCTAGAGAATTTTTTTTTGCTTTGGGGTCTTATGAGTTGATTATTTTTTTTCTGTGGGGCTATAGAATTGATCGTTTTTGCTATGGGGCCCAAGAGTTAATTTCTGTTATGTGGAATCCTAGAGTAGATTACTTTGCTGAGAGGCCCTAGTACCTGTGTTGTATACCATTCTAAAGTGTTTTGACCCCAAATTCCAAGCCGATCTCCAGGTTCCAGTCCAAGCTGTAACAAAACATGTAACAAAATTTAGAAAATTAATAATTAAATGTATCCTTTGTATCCTGTCTAAAAAGCTGAAAACTGATTATTCCAATTTTGGTTTGGTTTGGAAGTGAAAGCAAATTTAGAACTTTATGCTGCTTTAAAAATCTAACGATTTTTAAAATTTACTTATTTTTACCCAAATAAAGGGTCACTTGAATTAAGTTAACATAACAAAAACAAACAAAAAAGTTCGTTATAGATATTATAGAAAAATTTCGTGGATTTTCAAAATTTAATAAAATCGAGTTTTGTTGGAAGCTATTTTTTTAAATTTTTTATCAGTCATTAACCTTCCACGGGGTCTTGTGAGGTCCCCACACTGCAATATTTGGGCCCGATTGGTTCAGCCGTTTTTAAGTTTATTGAATACCAGGATAAAGAAATTTTTAGTTTAATAAGGAAACCTTTTTATGATAATTTTCCAAGTTTCAAAGATTTTTTATGAATGAAGATATTAATTGAAACTTTACACTGTACAGTGGGCAGAGACAATTTCAGGTTTAAATACGTTTTGTAAATATGATTTTTTTAATTTTTACCTCTATAAACCCTGCAGCTAAGGAGTCAATGTCTTTTTTTACTTCTGAAAATGTTCTTCTTTTGGCCTGAAAATTAGATAATTTGCAGGAAAAAAGAAAAAAGGAAATGCGTACAGATAGAAGCAGAAAACTCTGGAATAGAAAGACGTTTTTTGACTCATCTAATGACTTTACAAAGTCCAATGAACATGAAACAAAGCAATTTGTATAGTGTAAACAAACCTATTTCACTTGATAAGTAATTTAATTACAAACTAGACTATTTTTCTTGTAATAACATCAAATACAATTATATCTTGCTTCATTGTCGTCTTCCTATTCCACAGTTTTCTGGTTTTCACTGTATACAAATTTTATTTTTAAAGAAGTAGCATAAATAAAGTAATACAAGTAATAAAGATTGTAAACAATAACACAAATGATAAACAGACATTTGGTGCATCTCTGGCATTAGATGAAGATTCACCGTATACTAACTCTTGTTTGTTTATATTAGATCGGCTGCCTTTATTATTGTTGTTACGCAAAAACTAGCTCTCCAGCAATGCAAAAACGTCACAGCAAAGTGTACGGAAATCCTATTGCCCCCTCCTTGTATTCAATTCTCCTTGGTTTAGTCCTTCTCATGTCCTTCTTCAGTTCTCGTCAATATGATATATTGCTCAGTGAAATAATTTGATATTCTCAAAATAAAATTCACTCCTGAGTGGTTTAATAATTATGAAGTCCATTAAAACACCAAACTACCCCGATTATCATTGAAGTACACTTTGACCCCTAGAAGTATGAGTTCGCGGACTGTACAATTCTTGGTGATTTTGCGTACATAAGCTATCTATGTTTATTTATTTATCTATGGTTTGTATCAATAAATAAATTTATATCTTGTTTGCAACTGTGGGCAATTCTAGCTTCACATTAGAAAACAAAACAATTGTTAAAAAATAATGAATTTATGTAAGCTTTTTGGTGCACGAGTTCAGATCGTCAACGTACCGGGTTTACAAGTGCAGTATTCAGTGTTCAGTGGTGTACGGTGTACTGTGTACAATATACAGTGTACAGTGTATAGTGTACAGTATTCTACCTGTGCAATATCTACAACAGCCTCCCTGTCCCCGTACATGCTCTCAGATCTAATTAAATAAAAATATAAACATTTCACTTTTGTAAGAATTTTGAAAACTGCAAAATTAAGCACTCTTTTTTTCAAATAAGTTTTCAATATTTTGGTGCACAAATTTGATTCTGTTGATCTTGACGTTTTTTATGTATTTTCTTCGCAGTAGCAAATTTCAAATACAAAACTAATCTAATCTTAAGTAAACTTCATTTCAATCTAAAACAGGGGAATTAACTGCAAAAAATGTTTTCAAGAATTCAATTATAAAATAATTGTTTTAACCTATATCTAAAATTAAAGGGATTGTGTGCGTTTTTTCAAGTGATCAGTAGCATTTACGATTCACAACGATACCCTTCAAAACTTTTTCTGAACAAGCATGAATTAATGAATTAATGAATTAATGAATCTATACAGTGATAAACAGAAAACTCTGGAGTAGGAAGTCTATTTGTCTTACTTTAAATAGTGCAAGGAACATGAGGCACAGCAATTGTGCAGTGTAAACAGACCCATTTTACTTAATAAGACATTTAATAACTTTCTATTTTCTTTGAAACAACATCAAATGCACTTCAATATTGATTTAATATCGTCTTCTTAGTCTACAGTTTTCTGCTTATCATTGTAAGTATTAATGTTGTTTGTTTGTATTTGGTTATTTTTGGTTCCTTTTGCGAATATTGAAAAGAGAAATTATAAATATTTTTATGGAAATGGGTTAATCTTCCACATAAATGATCATATTAAATGTTCATGGATACCGTTGTGAATCGATTGTGTATGTTTCTCTTGACGAGGTTCACTTGAAATTACGAGAACATTCCCTTTAAAACTAGAAAACAATTTTATAATTGGCTTAATGTAAAATATTATTGTTACAAGACAAGATTGAGTTTTATTAACAAGACAAGACAAGATTGAGCTTTATTAACAAGACAAGACAAGATTGAGCTTTATTAACAAGACAAGACAAGATTGAGCTTTATTAACAAGACAAGACAAGATTGAGTTTTATTAACAAGACAAGACAAGATTGAGCTTTATTAACAAGACAAGACAAGATTGAGTTTTATTAACAAGACAAGACAAGATTGAGTTTTATTAGCAAGACAAGACAAGAATGAGTTTTATTAACAAGACAAGACAAGATTGAGCTTTATTAACAAGACAAGACAAGATTGAGCTTTATTAACAAGACAAGACAAGATTGGTTTTTATTAACAAGACAAGACAAGATTGGTTTTTATTAACAAGACAAGACAAGATTGAGTTTTATTAACAAGACAAGACAAGATTGGTTTAATTAACTAAAAAAATCAAAAATTAAAAATAGATTTATGTTCATGATTTGAGAAAGAAAATGATTAACAGATAAAGAAAAATAACTTATTATTTTAATAGTCCTAGTAAGTCTAGTACAGATGGACTGCCAGGATCACATGCAAATCTCCATCTTCTTTATATCCTAGCTATACTGCTTGTTTGTCCTATAGTTAGTCCTAGTAAAGGAGGAAAATATCCTACCTATACTGCTTAGGTACTATAGTTATTCCTAGTAAAGGAGGAATATAGTATCCTAAATATCTGCTGATTGTCCTATAGTTAGTCCTAGTAAAGGAGGAATATAATATCCTAAATATCTACTGCTTGTACTATAGTTATTCCTAGTAAAGGAGGACTTTAATATCCTACCTTTACTGCATGTCCTAACATTAGTCCTAGTAAAGGAGGACTAGAATATTCTACCTATTCACTGCTTGTCCTATAGTTAATCCTATTAAAGGAGGACTATATCCTACCTATCCACTGCTTGTCCTATAGGTAATCCTAGTTAAGGAGGACTATAATATCCTACCTATCCACTGCTTGTCCTATTGGTAATCCTAATTAAGGAGGATTAGAATATCCTACCTATCCACTGCTTGTCCTATAGTTAATCCTAGTAAAGGAGGACTAGAATATCCTACCTATCCACTGCTTGTTCTATAGGTAATCCTAGTTAAGGAGGACAATATCCTACCTATCCACTGCTTGTCCTATAGTTAATCCTAGTTAAGGAGGACTAGAATATCCTACCTATCTACTGCTTGTCCTATTGTTAATTCTAGTAAAGGAGGACTATATCCAACCTATCCACTGGCGGTCCTATAGTTAGTCCTATTAAAGGAGGACTATGATATCCTACCTATCTACTGCCTGTCCTATAGTTAGTCCCAGTAAAGGAGGACTAGAATATCCTACCTATCCACTGCTTGTCCTATAGTTAGTCCCAGTAAAGGAGGACTCCCAGGACCACATGCATAACTCCAGCTAGTGTGAAACTCCACAGGAGCCTGTTTTCTGTTCACAGCACATGTGGATAAACTCCTAGACATTTATATTTAATTAAAAGAAGTACAACTGTAAATAAAAGAAGTATATTGACCCTGTTACTGCGGTAATATTTTTCTTCATATGTATTCATTAAAATTACATTCTAATTTCTGAAATTAGCCCGTATTCAAAGTTTTAAATCTTCCATTCCAAATTTTATATAAAAGATCTAAATCACCTATTAGTCACTGACTAAACAGAATAACTAACTTTGATGAAAAAATAACACATATTCTTTTTGATTTTTTTGAGCCTTGTAATCCTCTTAAACCTGTACCTGATGTTTAAATGCTGATGACGGAGTAGCTGAGCTGAGCAGAGTGATCTCCTAACTGACATTTTCATTCTTTGATGATGATTAAATACATTGACCTCAGACAACATATGCACAGGTGTACAATGTACATACTATGCAATACAAGTCTGTGCACTACAGTTTACTCTTGCACACTACAATACACTTCTGTGCAATGCAATACAACAAGTCTGTGGACTACAGGTTACTCTTGTACACTACAATATACTTCTGTGCAATGCAATACAACAAGTCTGTACACTACAGTTTACTCTTGTACACTACAATACACTTCTGTGCAATGCAATACAACAAGTCTGTGCACTACAGGTTACTCTTGTACACTACAATACACTTCTGACTGCACTTCAATAAAATTCATTACACTGCAATACAATTCCGTTCACTAAATCACTTCTTTTAACTTCAATACACTTCCATGCACTGCAATATACTTCTTTTAACTGCAATACATTTCCGTGCACTTCAATATACTTATTTTAACTGTAATACACGTCCATGCACTTCAATATACTTATTTTAACTGTAATACACGTCCATGCACTTCAACATACTTATTTTAACTGTAATACACGTCCATGCACTTCAATATACTTATTTTAACTGTAATACACGTCCATGCACTTCAATATACTTCTTTTAACTGTAATAAACGTCCATGCACTTCAATATACTTATTTTAACTGTAATACACGTCCATGCACTTCAATATACTTCTTTTAACTGTAATACACGTTCATGCACTTCAATATACTTATTTTAATTGTAATACACGTCCATGCACTTCAATAAACTTCTTTTAATTACAATACACTACATTAAACCACTCCTTAGAAATACGATCGCTCTAGTATATACAAGTGTACAACGTTAGATACGTGAACATATCGTGATGTACACAACCGACCAATCTATTAATTGTGTACATCTGAGCTAAGCTTCACCTCTTCGATTTATTACTCTATGGGTAGTGATTATGAAAATGAAGATATGTAGTGATTATGAAAATGAAGACAAGTAGTGTTTATCAAAATGAAGATAGTGATTATCAAAATGAAGATAGGTAGTGATTATGAAAATGAAGATAGGCAGTGATTATCAAAATGAAGATAGGTAGTGATTATCAAAATGAAGATAGGTAGTGATTATCAAAATGAAGAAAGGTAGTGATTATCAAAACGAAGAAAGGTAGTGATTATCAAAATGAAGATAGGTAGTGATTATAAAAATGAAGATAGGTAATGATTATTAAAATGAAGATAGGTAGTGATTATTAAAATGAAGATAGGTAGTGATTATTAAAATGAAGATAGGTAGTGATTATCAAAAAAAAAGAAATCCATACATCACTCTCACCAGTCAATACTGGAACTTCAATAACTGAAAGATAAGAAAACTTGATTTTCAAGATTTAAGCAGACGTTTACAATACACACGATATATATACTCATAAACATTCGGGAAGAATTAAATCATTTTACAGGGTGATTCACAAAAAAGTGATTAATACCTTAAAAGCAGTATTTTGTATTAAAAGGCCCCATTTTAATCAAAATTTGGCTAAAAACTTTTTTCGATTTTTAATCAACTCAAAAATTTGAATTTTATTTTTTTCGAAACCGAATCCTATGTATTTATATCTATTTATAACTATATATTTTCACGAACATCATAAATATAAATATGTATTATATATATGAATTAGAAACAACCACGTGCAGGATTGGCTTTCTAATATTATCTATATATCTGTATGTTAGTAATAGCTGGCCAAACGGCTGGATCAATTGGCTGACATTTTTGACGAAACCCAAGGGTACTCAGGGTGCTTGATTTGTGACTTTTTTTTTATAAATCAGCTAACCATCCATCAGAGGTTGCTGCGTTTTCACTTAATAAAAATATTGCAATAAAAATAAAATTTCAAAATCGTCCAAACAGTTGCGAATTGACGAGTTAAAATAGAAGTAATCACCGTAAGGGCCGCCCCGGAAAAAAATTTTTATAAAATGTTACACAACATTTTCTTAGACATTTTATGATGAATTCAAATCTGAAAAGCGGTAAAACGGGGACTTTATATCTATTATTGCTAAAAAATTGACTTTCAAGTTTCAACATAGAACTTTTGATTATATTTTATTAAATTACACACTTTCATCTTCTGGAGACCACTGCATGATACAGATTTGAAATATTCTTGCTTCCGCTAGATATTTTATGACATTCTCATATTTTCAAACATGGAGTGTCAAACTTTTTTTATAGAAAGATTTATTTTTTGCAAAAACTTTGAAAAACATGTTAAATGCAGAACTATTTAGTTTTTGTTTCGGAACAATATCTTACAGTTTTCTGTTAACTATTTATAACGTTTAGTTTATAATAACTATCGGTATGTGAGAACCAGAAAAATGTGGAAAGGATGATGAAATCACAGCAATACTTATACATATTAGATGCTGTTACAAAACAAGTTATTTAGTTAAATGGGTCTGTTACTGAGTTCTGGACTATGTAAAGTTATAACTTAAGTCTAAAAGTCGTCTTTCTATTCCAGAGTTTTATAGTTCTTGCACTGTATATCTCATATTAAGATCAGTGTCTTTCATATTCTATTATAAAGAATACAGGGTTATAATGCGTTTAAATTTAGTAATGGATTCAGGCTCCTGCAGTTCCAAAGTGCTAAGTTTTAAGTTGTTTCAAGAGCCAAAAACTATTTTCTTACGTTTTCCGATGCATTTTGCATATGAAAAAAATTAGGTGAATTTGATTTTAACTTTTTGTACTTCAGCCTTGGGTACTTGGAAAAGTACCCCAATTACTATAGAAAAATCATATAACATCCATCTACGTGGAAGTATTATCCTAAGCATGTAAGGGAAGGAAGTCAAATTATATCCCATTACCTTTTCTTTCATACATTCTGCAATCTTATTTTTTTTATTTTTATTATACATTTTCTTTTTCATTCTCCATTATTACACTTTTTCACTCTTTCCACAAAACTGTTTAAAATTTGATTTATTGACAATATTTGGAAAAAGAACTGAAAACACACCTAAAATTTAAATTCACCATTTGGTATATATTTTCATCTTTCAAATCAGTTTTTCATCAATTTTAAAAAACGTGCGTTTCTTAACTTAAGTTTCCCATGCGTTACGAAATACATAGTATTGTTAAAATGAAAGATATGATTGACAGTTCTCAATATTAAGTTCTACAAGAGGAGAGTATCTTCAACTAATTAAACTCTCTCAAACATATTCTGAATGATTCTGATCATTTAATAAATTCAAAACTAATTTCAAATTGTCTTTTCCCCCCTTCTGCTATAGGGGGAAACTTAGGAACAGGATATTCAAGGGACTGTAGAGTGTAGAGTGTATAGTGTAGAGTGTAGAGTGTAGAGTGTAGAGTGTAGAGTGTAGAGTGTAGAGTGTAAAGTGTAGATATTTAATGTTAAAAAATCCTCCAATACGAATTCACAACAGTACCCATTAAACCTATGTCTCATCAAGAATGAATGAGATGTCCATTTGTCCTACCTTGATTTGTTGACTTGTTATAAAAATCTAAAATTGACTTGTTGATTGCAGGAATATATTTACATAGATTAAGGTTTACAGGATAGCTTCGTGAAGCAGACATACCCCTCGTCATAGTAGCTGCAGATATTCTTCGGGAGAAAACAATTTTTAATGAGAGATCAGAATATGACGAGAACTATATCAATACACTAGCTTGGGAACCCAGCGCTGCCCAGGTTATCAAAAGTTACTTCCGCCGTTTACCCGCAATTGAACGATTTACCGGGAAACTAAATTTTTGCTCTTAAAGTCGACCCCACAACTAAGAAAATTCCCGGTGGTTCCCGAGTTCCCCAATCGAAATTTGAGGTAAATCGGTAAAAGGGTTCCTTAGTTATGATCGGACAAACCAACAATATATAGATACAGAATTTACTTCATTTATTTAGTTTCACGTGTAGGGTCATTTACAATACGCTTACAGTCCCTTTAGCATAAAAATCATTAGACAAAGTTTTTATTACTATCTTTAAAATTTCTACATAAAAGTAACATTCTAATTACAACAGCGTTAAGCAAAAGTTAAATATAGTTTTTCAAAACCACCATAAATATGGATGTTATGAATGTATGCTTTTTCTGGATTTTCGGGTTAGTCATTTCAATTTCAAAAACACTATTAAAATCAAAATAAATTGCAAAAACATTACAATTTTACGAACACTTTTGCTTAAAGAAGATAAATCTTATATCCCTTTTTTAATCAACCTCTAATGTATTTAAATTTAATACAAAGTTTTTAATCTTTTTTAAGTTTGCTGCAGAAAGGACGTCTTTTCGTCATCGAAAACCTTGAATGAATGCCATTTTAAAAACAATGTTTTTAAAATGTTTCTAATAGGAAAATGTGAGAACAATGCTTGTTATAGATAGATATGTTCTTCATATTATTATATTTTCCCAATTTTTTCGTTATGTTGAATATGCCATTTTTAATAAAGCTACAGTTTGTACGTTTAAACAGGATAAAATTAATAGAATAATGTAGTATAACAAGGGAACCAGAATGCAATTAATAGAATAATGTAGTATTACAAACGAGCCAGAATAACATTAAAATAATAATGTGGTATAAAAAAGGAACCATAATACAATTAATATAACAATATAGTATAACAAAGGAACCAGAATGCAATAATTAGAAGAATGTAGTATAAAAAGGGAACCAGAATGCAACTAAAAGAATAATGTAATATAACAAAGGTACCGAATACAATTAATAGATACTGAAGTAGAACAAAGAAACCAGAATACAATTAACAGAATAATTTAGGGCTCAGTTTCATTTGCCATAATACTTTTGCCATAATTACACTTGCCATAATATTTTTGCCATAAGTGACACTTGCCATAAGTCACACTTGCCATAAGTTACACTTGCCATAATGGTTACACTTGCCATAATTACACTTGCTATTATTACTTTTGTCATAATTTTCTAATTTCTAAAAAGATGAAAATCGGTCTTTTTTATTGCAAATGCGGGAAATTTTCCCATGAAAATTCCCAACTTTAGTTTTCTCATTGTTTTAAAACAGAACAGTTGATACAAGTTCAGCTCCATATTTTCTCATAATGGAGGACCCCTTAGTGACCTTTGAGAGTAAGTAAGGGTAAATGTAAATATATGTTTGAAAATTCAAACCATATTTAATTTTAATTATGGCAAGAGTAATTATGGCAAGTGTAATTATGGCAAGTGTAACCATTATGGCAAGTGTAACTTATGGCAAGTGTGACTTATGGCAAGTGTTACTTATGGCAAATGTATTATGGCAAATGTAATTATGGCAAAAATAATTATGGTAAAATTATTATGGCAAATGAAGCTGAGCCATAATTTAGTATAAAAAAGGTACCACAATGCAATTAATAGAATAATAAATTATAACAAAGGTCTAGGATACAATTTATAGAACAAATTAGTATAACAAAGGATACAGGGTACAATTAACAGAATAATGTAATATAAAAAAGGATCCAGGGTACAATTAACAGAATAATGTAATATAACAAAGGATCCAGGGTACAATTAACAGAATAATGTAATATAACAAAGGAATAAGAATACAATTAATAGAATAATGTAATATAACAAAGGAACCAGAATATATTTAATTGAATAATGTAATATAACAAAGGAACCAGAATATATTTAATAGAAGAATGTAATATAAAAAGGAACCATGGAATACAATTAGTAGAATAATGTAGTGTAACAAAGGAACCATGGAATATAATTAGTAGAAAAATGTAGAATAACAAATGAACCAGAATACAAATAACAATTTATTGTTGAACGATCTGCTTCTGGAGCCGCCCTCTAGCACTTCTATGGATAGCTGAAAAAAAAAAATTTAAAAACTAAAAATTTAAGTTTTAGAGAAAAAAAAACATGAAGACAAGCTGAATTTATAAAGGGCATGTCGACGTAATTTAAAATAAACCTGCAAATACAAAGTGCAATGTACTTTTCACAACGGATTCAAACTTTTTAATAAAGTGGAAGACGTTTTTCTAGACAAAAAAGTGTTTGATTTTGACAATTTCTTCCATTGTTTCTATAACATACATCGTTAAATCACAAATGACAATTAAAGTGAAACTACAAAAAAAATTCAACCAATAAAAAATATCAATTCTCATTTATTCTTGTTCAGATTAAGCTTAGTACACTTCTGAATCGGACTTGCCACTCTAAAAATAAAATGTCACATTAATTTACGTATACAGTCCCTTTAAGGGAACAAATCAACGTACACCTTTCAAGTGTATAGTTCCGAGATTGTTAAAATAATTAACGGAAGGAATAATTGTTTTTCTCTACTATTTCTTTACCTAGAAAAGTTTTCAAGAGAGAAAAGAACAAAGTAAAGAAAATGTTTTTAAATTAACAAAATATACAAAATATGAAACAAGACAATATTCTGAAAGGAAGTGTTCGCGAAAAATAAAAGGGGGTATAGGCTTATGGCAAAAAATGAGCGCTTTTGATTGTTACTAATCTTACTTCTATCTGTTGTGTCTAGTCTATAAGAAAAAAAAATGTTCAAAACGACTCATACCGAAGAAGTCCATACAAATTCAAGTTGCAACATTCAACTCGGATCGTAAACAAATCATTTTAATTTCAAACAAATTATTCCGATATTACAAACAATATTTATTTTCATTTTTCATGATCTGAGAGTTACTTTTGAAAACATTTATTCCTGTTTCGAGGATTTTTTTTTATAATGAAGACGACATTTTTATAGTTTTCAGGAATGTTCGAAAATCCAGAGACAGCGAAATATTAATTTAAAGAAACAAAATCTCAGCTAAAGATTGCAACAATTTTTGTTGAGATGGGTCAGATATATTTATAAATTTTCAGACTTTTTGTATTTTAGCATCATGTAAACAGGTTTTATAAAGAAAATATTTTAAACAGCGCGACGATTGAAGATGAAAATAGATCTTTGGTTTTAAGTCCTAAAAAGTATCTGCCTTAAAATATGTATGTACGAAACTTTTATTGGTATCACCCCTTCTTAGGTAAAATGCTGTATTGACTTGTAAGAAAATGATTATTTTTATTATTTAAAATATGTCGATTAAAGTCCTATAAGAGGCCAAATTTAGTGGAAATGGTTGAAAGTCTATAACATTTTTGTTTTGATTGAAAATTATCTTTTTTACAATTACAATTTTTTTTTAGAATTTGAATTACCATTGCTGAGTCTGCGTATACATCTAGTATTTTTGCTTGGCAGACTATTTCAAGTCCTGGAGAAAATAATAAATTTTAAAAATTGTATTTTTTATTAAGGAAATAATTATTGAAAAAAACTAACTTGAATTAGGAGTAGAATCAACTATAAATCCAAGATTTTGTCTTGAAATTCCTCTGAAATATCATTATTATCATTATCATCATCATCATCATCATCATCATCATCATCATCATCATCATTATCATCATCATCATCATCATTATCATCATCATCATCATCATCATCATCATCATCATCATCATCATCATCATTATTATTATATATTTAACATAATCCGTCTTACCTCAGCTGTCCTCTAATAGGGAAAAATGTTTCTAGTTTCTAAATATACAAATTTTAAAGTTTAATTAAGTTAAGTAAAAATATCTTCTATTTCAAGCAATTTCGTTTTTTTATTTCTAATGAAAATGGACATGTGAATTGTGATATGTTGCCAAAATGATTTTTTTTGTTAAATAGAGCTTTGATGATAGATAAAGAGATATAAGAAAAAACAGAAATAAAGAATGAAAAGAAAATTGAAAACAAGAGTGGAAAGAGAAACTTAAAACAAGAGTGGAAAGATAAACTTAACACAAGAGTGGAAAGAGAAACTTAACACAAGAGTGGAAAGAGAAACTTAACACAAGAGTGGAAAGAGAAACATAAAACAAGAGTGGAAAGAGAAACATAGAACAAGAGTGAAAAGAGAAACTTAACACAAGAGTGGAAAGAGAAACTTAAAACAAAAGTGGAAAGAGAAACTTAAAACAAGAGCTGAAAGATAAACTTAAAACAAGAGTGGAAAGAGAAACTTAAAACAAGAGTGGAAAGAGAAACTTTAAACAAGAGTGGAAAGAGAAACTTAACACAAGAGTGGAAAGAGAAACTTAAAACAAGAGTGGAAAGAAAAACAGAAAACAAGAATGGAAAGAAAAATTGAAAAACAAGAATAGAATGAAAAAAGAAACAGAAAAAAAAATGGAAAGAGAAACTGAAACAAGAGCGGAAAGAAAAAACAGAAAACAAGAATGGAAAGAAAAATAGAAAACAAGAATGAAAAGAGAAACTTAAAACAAAAATAGAATAAGGCACTTGAAAAAAGATTGGAAAGAAAAACTGAAAACAAGAATGGAAAGAGAAACTTTAAACAAGAGGAGAAAGAGATACAGAAAACAAGAATGTAAAGAGAAGCTGAAAACAAGAATGTAAAGAGAAGCTGAAAACAAGAATGTAAAGAGAAACTTTTTTTAAAAATATTTTTTAGATTTATTTCTGATTATTTTGAGATTACATTATATAGAACTGCTAGGGTTGATGTCTAGCAGTTTTTGCTAGTCACTTCTATGGGTTCTCTTCCAGGAACTTCGCTTATAGGGTTGCTCTTCCAGAAACCACGCTTGTAGAGGTTCTCTTCCAGGAACCTGGCTTCTATTGGTTTTCTTCCAGGAACCACACTTATAGAGGTTCTCTTCCAGGAATCTGGCTTATAGGGGTTCTCTTCCAGGAATCTGGCTTATAGGGGTTCTCTTCCGGGAAACTCGCTTATAGGGATTCTCTTCCAGGAACCTCACTTATGAAGGTTCTCTTTCAGGAACCTGGCTTAAAGGAGTTCTCTTCCGGGAACCTCGCTTTTAGGGGTTCTCTTCCAGGAACTTCGCTTATAGGAGTTCACTTCCAGGAACCACGCTTGTAGGGGTTCTATTTCAGGAACATCGGTTATATGGGTTTTCTTACAGTAACCACGCTTATAAGGGGTTCTCTTTCAGGAACGCACATAGGATTTATTTTAGGATATTTTCATGGTTTCATCGTCATATGTGATTTCAATGCTTCATATGTTGTGTGAGGTGCGGGATTCGAACCCGAGACTACCAGTGTGGTCACCCATCCACTTTCTGGTCGATGGAAAGTGTGCCTAACTTTAGTGATCTAACGAGAACTGGTCCAACACACTTACCACCCCACCCCAGAAAGAGAAATTGGAAACAAGAATGAAAAGAAAATTGAAAACAAGAGTGAAAACAGAAACTTAAAACAAGAATGGAAAGAGAAACAGAAGACAAGAATGTAAAGGGAAACAAACAGACAGCAAGAATGAAAAGAGAAACAGAAAACAAGAATGGGAAGAAAATTAGAAAACAAAAATGGAAAGAGAAACATAAAACAAGAATGGAAAGAAAAATAGAAAACAAGAATAGAAAGAGAAACAGAAAGCAAGAATGGAATAAGAAACTATAAAAAAGAATAGAAAAAGAAAGAAACTGGAAACAAGAATAGAAAGAGAAACTGAACACAAGAAGAGGAAAATCAAGCCCGAAATAATAATGGACTCCACATTTTTTATTGAAAATTTGAATTCCTGACTGCTCAACTCAACTTCTCGGCTTTGTACGAAGAATTTAAGCTCCGGAGGAGGCGAACCTATAAAAAGAAAAAAAAATGTTTTAAAAATCCTCAAGATTTATGATTCAAATTCATTTGCATTTTTTTTCTGCATAAAAATTAGTATTTAACCTGAAACAGTTTTTAAAAATGATAAAATCTGTTTAAACCTATATAATGTATATCACGGTAAACTACAGGTCTTATCAAACGTATAGTGAGTCTGAACTTTAGAACCCATTTTTAAACCCATTAAATATAGTTTTTTGTATTTGCCATTTTTTCGGTGAGCTTCGTTTTTTGAAAATTTTAGCACATCAAGTCTCTTTTTCGACGGATTTTGCTTTAGAGATCAAAACATGACTTAAACTGTTCCAGTGCAAGCAATATACATATCAACAATAGAAATTTTACAGTGATAACCAGAAAACGTTGAAGTAGAAAGACGCCTTTATAGACTGCAGTTCTGACTTTAAATAGTCCAATGAGCATACCAACACAATAACTGTGCAGTGTACAGAGGCCACTTCACCTAGTTAGTGATTTAATAAGTGTCTAGTCAAACTACGATGGTAGGCGATTATACCAATACAAGGAAGACGACTTTCAATTTATATCAAGCTGTTAAACATCATAGACACACATAAACAAAGAAGTCTAGAGAAGCTGTCAATTAAAAAACTTCACTTTGATAACTTGTAAACTTGTAATTTGAAAAAAGCTTGTTATAACGATCAAAACTTGAATAAAAAAGTCGTTTAATTGTATTGATATATTAGCTTACCACTGCATTTGCTCTGTAACAACATCAAATACACTTAAATATTACTATAAAGTCGTCTTTCTATTTCAGAGTTTTCAGGTTACCACTGAATGTTTGCTTCCTTTAGTTTTTAGATAAAAAATCGAATAATCTCCACCCCTACTAGTTGCAATATAAAGATAATAATTCCAATATAAAGTAAAAATATGATAAAAACAGCTTTGTAGGGTTTATTACAAATGAAATTGACACTTCTCATATTATCAAAAAGTATATCAAAATAAAATAAGTTCATCAATAACTTTTTTTTAAAACTTACCCATTCCACTTTCACAAGTAATGTTTAGTTTTTCACCTATAAAATCATAACAATTTAGTTCATGCAGTAACACTGTAAACTCCAGTTTATTTCAAGTACCGGGGTTACTTTTAAGCAGCTAGATATGGACTGTATAAACGGGACGGTACACCAAATGAATTATCCCTCTTCTAGGGAGATTCAAGTGAGTAGTCATTTCTAGGACCCTAGAAGCAATCACTATAGTTTTTGTATAAATATGGCCAAAATCTGTAGTAAACCTAAACAGACACAGCTTTCTTGTTCTATCTATGTATTCTGTGCCGATATATTCAAGAAACTATACTACAGTCAAGGTTCCAATGCAAGGAAAGTTAATTGCAATAGCATATACTCTACGTACATATTGAGACCAGTTCTCTCAGGGCGGAATTTGTAAACAAGAATAGATGCATCAGTGTTCGTCTAGTATCCGAGGAGCATTTAAAAGCATTTAATTTTGATAATTTTGATAATTCACATAATATATTTCATTGATTTTTTTATGTGAAAGATGGATCCCATGTCAGGCTGTGACATCCGTCTTGTGTTTATTTTTCCGCCCAAAAACAGTACACTGCAGTACAAAAAAAGCGTACACCTCTGAAATAACTTTCCTTGCATTAGTACCTTGATTATAAGTAAAGAGACTGTAGACTTAATTTCAAGTTTCTCTTCTTCAATGAGTTACTTTTCAAAAAGAACCTTATTAAATAGCTTTCCCTATATAAAGAGATAAATTCAGCCAGTTTCCTTCATGTTTCTCTCTTGCATAAATCCGCAAGTCACTCTTTGATACAAAATTGCAATCCATCGGATTTGTAACTTGTCACTTGAAATCAATTATATTCAGAGTCTTTTTGTATCCATGCTTTTACAGTTGTTGGGCAATTGTCAATTTTTGTGTGTAATCTGATACAATTTTAGGATCGAATTTAAGCATGAATAGAAACATTTGTGAAATTTATGGTTAAACTTTGGACTGGGGAACGTTTCGTTAAAAAAAAACGAAAAATTAATGGAAATTAACAAACGATTCAGTTGACAACGGTAGAAATTGAAATCATTAACGAACAAAAATAACCGTTCATGAAAGAAAGATATCGCAAAATCAAAAGAACAAACGGATGTGTTATTTCCAATTCTTGCTTTTCATCATGTTTTGAGCCAGCACGGATTTAGTGACTGATGAAACCGCACTCAATTTTACATGTACATTCTTGTACAATTGTTGCATGAAAATGTGCCTTCGCGTCGCGTCGTTGTACGAAAAAATCGAAACCTCATGGTGAATGTAATGTCAAGAGAAAATTTGTGTTACTTATTTTTAATTCTGAGAAAAAAAAGTTTTTTGATTTGTGTCTTTTCCGTAATCAAGCGTAACAAACAATATTTTAGTATAAATTTCATTTTCCATTTCCCCTTTGTTTCTATTATTTTGTTTCTAAATGTTAGTTACTAAAAGTTTAGAATATTAAACAACTTTATTTTTGGATGAGCAGACTGAGAAAGAAAATAATTCTCTTTGTCCTTTTCAATTTTATTTAAATTTTGCTTCAAATATTCAGTTAGACAAAATATTCATCAACGTTTGTCAATTCGTTCTTGCTGTGGACACTTTTGTTCTATGAGCATGTGTAAATAAGCTGAGCTTTGCCACAAACTCAAATTTTTAAAACCTTTTATTTTTGCAACCTGATGGTGTACATCTCTGATATTGTAAACTTAGACTATTCAATCTTTTGGAATTCATGGTTAAAAATATCATATGTTTCCGAGATTTGGTTAGGAAATCAGAGTCTGTGACCCGAACTCAGTTCCTTTGATAGCAAATTTTATCATGAAGGTTTCTAAAGCCTAATTAAAACTGAGGTGAAAACTTTAGAATTGTGAATATTGAAATCCATAATCTCATCTTTTTAGTAATAACAAGATTAAATTAGTCTTTAGAATGTATTCTGAAAAGTGTATACAATTCAACGAATGCAAAATCCCGAACAGCCAATCAGAAGCCAGTGTCATGCATGGAGCGGACAACTGCATGGGGCGGACTTTTAAAAAGCAATGTTATGACATTTTCCGATATTTATTAATGTATTTTGATTGGAAAAAAGTGTCTTGAGCAAATATTAATTGTTTGATGATTTGAAGAGAAGACGACATTCAAGATAAAACAACTTTATTTGGCTTTACCCCCTTTAAAATACTTTTAAGAACTAAATGCGTATTTAAAAATGTCAACCAAAAATTTATAATGTTTTAACATTGGTTTTTCTGTCTAACATTGTGGTAAAATGTTAAAACTTTAGGGAGAGTCCGCCCCATGCAGTTGTCCCCATGCACTACACCAGGAAATTTGAAATTATACGCGCCATTTCATGAAAGAACTCTCACTGGTTGAAATCTCGTAGGAATGTTCAAAAAGAGAAAGAAAGAGCGATTGAGCAGGAACTTAAAAGTGCACATCAGATATTCAGATTACGCGGTTGGAATTAAGGGTATCCAATTCTAAAGTTCCCAGCTCTGAGTTACTAAATTAAATCTAAATTTTCCTCTTTTTTTTCCCAAATCCGTTCATATCTAACCCCATAAGGGTAATTACTCGGCATCTAAACAGAACGTTCTTAAGTGAAACAACAGCAAATAATGAGCATTTATAGAGCAGACTTTCCTATTTCATTTAAATAAACAGAGCTGAAAACTTTACAATGAAAAATCCTTTATCACGATCACTTAATCTGATTATCCAAAGTACACAGTTTTGATTTTCTTCTTAATCCTCTTTTTGGATATTTCTATTGTATAAAAGTTACGTTTGATAACGATTACAGATACAATGCTATATCGATTGGACTATAATATGCGATTGAATTAAAGCCAGCTGTTCACAAGTTGGCTTTTAGAGCATTTAAACAAACATGAATTTAATCGTGTTAATATGAAATTATTAAAAACATATTTTAGGGCTATTGTCATTTTAAACGTTTGTCTTAATAAACTTTAATTTAAAACTTACGTTTGTTCAATCGATGTTCATTTCGATTGATATGACACCATCAACACCAGAAATCAAAACCGGTTTTTAAAAATTAAAGAGTACATCTTAACATGACACACTGATTGGTTAAATTTTTATCTTCTTTCTTGGATATCTAATGCGTTTTAAAATAATCTTGGGTTTAGTAAAACCAGGAGTTTAAGCATTAATCTTAATATCCGCCATTCCATTCTAAAGTTTTTAGCTCAGTTGTCTAAAGCAAAGTTGGCACAACATGTTCTTGTTTTTTACTCATAATATTAATAAATTTACATCCACGTGACTTGCGAAGGAATGCAGAAGAAAGAACAATGAAATAATCATATTATTTAATAGAAAAATAAGGATATCTCCTTCTGGATCTACTTTAAACTTTAACTTGTTTGTAGACCTCGACATGTTTTTAGCTTTAGTTTTTAGATGTAATTCTCATTTGCTTGTTACTCTTTTACTGTAGGGTTACTTGAAATTATGCTCACCGCTTTTTTAAATCTATAAAAAGACTTCTATAAAGATAAATCTATAACTCTATAAAGAGAAAAACAGGACTTTACAGTGCTTAGCTATTCAATCACATGTTTAGAAGTGTTTGATCTTTAAATTTATTGATTTTGATAAAAGTATTTTTCAAAGTTGCAAAATGAAATGCCATGTATAGAATTCGATATTTTGTTTTCATCCAAATATTGGTAATTATTTAACAAGAAAAAATATGTATTTTAAAAGGATGCCTAAATCTTTAATCCCTTTAAAAAAACTTTTTTATCAAAATTTGGTTTTCCCGGGAACAATATTAATGTATTGGTTAAATCCGTTAAACTTTTTCTAACATACTCGTTCTCATAAAAAAAAAAACTTGTTATTAACTTATAAACTTAGTCATTATGTGAAGCAACATTTATCGATTAGAAAAATAAACCAGTAAAAATTATTACGATTATAGAATATGCATTCTTAAGGAAATGCATTTGAATGAATGAATGAATTCATAAAAGTAGGTAGGCAAATAATAAAATAATAAAATAATACTTTTTTAATGTTCATTATAACAATTCTGTTTTCTTTTAGCCTCTATGTAAAACTTTTGTTTTTATTATCAATTGAATTTGAAACATAGATATTTTAAAATATATAATACATCAAAAATTTGAAATTTAAAGGCTTTGCAAAACATGAAAAGAGAAAAGTATCCTATTAGAAAGAATCTAATTCTTAAGTTATAATTTGAATTCTTTATATAGGGTGTAAGGGAAGCATTGTGAATTAAACAGGCGGTGGAGTTTTTCATTTAGTATTACTAGAAAGTTCAAATTCTCTTTATCAAACATTTATTAGAGTAAAGGAAATAATTATTATTTATGATTTAAGAAAACTTCTAATACTGGGCACTGAGAGCAGAGAAAGTTTTTTTCGGTATTATTGTTGCAGCTACTCCTAATTTTTCGCAACGTTTTCGCATTTTTTTCGCGAAGAGGTTCGCAAAATTTGAACGACACTTTTCGCATTTTTTCGCTAGAAACCCTACTGATAATTACCTTGTTTATAGGCTCTTCTACCACCTAATATTTGAGGAGGGGTTCGGGGCAACTCTAAAATATCATCAATATAAGTAGATACTATTTAGTATTATCAATAGTTTTTAATTCTTATAATTTTTGTTATCATTATTATAATCATTTTCATTCCCATTATGATTAATAATATTCCTATTATTATCATTGTTATCATTATTAATATTTTTATTATTATTATTATTATCATTATTAATAATTTTTACGGAAGAAAATGCATATTTCTAAGGAAATGCATATTTCATATTTTTTTTTCATATTTTTATTCAACTACAAAGCACGAGATAATACAAATAAAAAATCACAATTTACTATGTAGTTTGGACCCGCCTAACCAGAGTAGGTTGTTTTAATTGGTTGGCCCACTATAAACGAATGAGAATTGCAGATAAAAACAATGTACATTGTACATTTTAAAACATATTGAAACCAGTTCTCTTTGGGCGGAATTTTTAAACAAGAATAGATGCATCAGTGTTCGTTTAGTATCCGAGGAGGTTAAAAGCATTAAATTTGATAATTTTGATAATTTACATAATAGTTTCCTATGACCAGAATATTTCATCGATTTTTTTATGTGAAAGATGGATCTCACGTCAGGCTGTAACATCCGTCTTGTGTTTACATACCGCCCAGAGACAGTACACTGCAGTACAAAAGATGCGTACACTTCTGAAATAACTTTCCTTGCATTACATCCTTGGAATCAGAAGAAAACCTTTCCAAAAGTACGTTGGAACAAAATAATAGAATATTAATGATCTGTAGATCGATTGACTTGTGCTTTACGATAAAAAATATTAAACGATAATTTAAATAAAACTTACCTACAACTCTGAGATTGGTTGATCTTGCTGCTGTAGTATATCTGGGGGGTCCTCCTGATACCTACACAAGAAATATACAGTGAGAACCAGATAACTGTGGATTAGAAAGACGACTTTTAGACTCTAGTCCAATGAACATAAAACAAAGCAATTGCTTAGTGTACACAGACCCATTTTACATAATAAGGCCGTAGGGGTGCATATTCCTATGTCCTTGAAATGTTTGGCAATTTTATTTTGTGTACATGTACTACTACACTTCAGAAATGTGTACTGCATTTTGGTATACAAATTTGTGGCGTTTAAAGATGTATATATCACTATTCAATATTAGAGATAAAATATGATATACAGGAAAATAAGCTGCAGTATACATTCTGCCGTATAGATTTTTTAATACAACTTGACATCATAATTTAAATCATTTACAACATTATCAACATTGTTAATTTCTGCCCCTGGGCCCTAATATCAATCAATAAACAGTCGGGATCGTATTGGATTGAATTTTAGGGAGCTATACAGGCAGTAAAACCATTTGTTTTGTAACTATAAAATCAAACACACTACTTCCAAGAGAAGGATTTCTGGGCCACCCCCCCCCCTTCATTAAAAAAACATGTAATTTTAATTTTTAAGGGCCCCGTAGCCTGTTCTTGCAGCGGCGCTCGGTCCGGAAATTTTCTTATTCTAACCCTGAAATATTACAGAATAAACACAAACTTTGATAAAAATAGTATGCACANGATAATGCTCTGAACTCTAATTATCACTGTATGTTAGAGAATATACTCTATGTAAAATATGCTATAAATATTATGGCTGACCTCGCATTTGTATGAACCTGAGGAGGCTGGGGTAACTGACTCAAGGACAATATGGGTCGGAGTTGAAATCTCCGAAGTCTGATGATAATCATTAAGTATAAAATAATATCAACAAACAGATGTGGATATTCAAATAACACCCGGGAACTGTTTTGTTGTAAACTCATAATCCTGATCTCTTGATTCAGCCTGCTTAAAAAGTTTCATCAATTTTTTAGACTGAGCCAACTTTGAAGTGCCTTGGGCTTTGATTTTACCGCTCTAACTCACTTATACTTTTCTGTAGCCCTTTACCTGTACATTTTAGCACTATAAGGCACTTGTTTTTAGCTTTGATTTTAAAGAAGTATAATTGGCAACATTCTCAACGATTTTGCTTGAGAGTTTGCAACCTTTAAATCACAGTGTGATGCAATTATTCAGCATATTAACACAGGTATTGATCTTAATACCCACAGGCTCACAGCCAAGACCAGATCGAAAAAAAAATATCAACCCGTCATATCAATCCAGGGTTGCAAAAAAAGCTTTATAAAATATAAAAATGAAGAAGAATTTAAGAAGAAAAGTTGTTTTTATCCAATAATATGAAGAACACAATATCGAATATATTTATGATATTTTCTATTTAATAATTCCTTAGTTCCATTTTGTACAAATACGGTGATTGACGGAGATTCTGAAATAGATTAAGATATTTAGATAAAAAATTGTGAATTGTTGCTGTTTTGTAAATTTAAAATCATTCACGAGACAAATCTAAACGAGAAACGTGTTTAATCAAATTTAGATTTTTTAAAAAAGAATACGATTAAGTGTTTGCCTTGAAGTCAAATTTTCTAATCCATATATATTTGCAATTTGATGGTGTAAAAACATTTTAATATTTCAAACTATGAATTCTGCGGGATCAAATATTCTAGTTTTGAGATATCGAAGGTTCACACCCTCAGATTGCTAAGATAAAAGGTTAAGAAAATTTCGTTTTAAAAACCATTTTTATAATCGTTTTTATACTCGTTTTTATAATCGGTTTTATGATCGTTTTTACAATCGTTATTATAATCGTTTTTACAATCTTTTTATAATCGGTTTTATAATAGTTCTTAAAATCTATTTTATAATCGTTTTTATATTCGTTTTTATAATCGTTTTGAAATCGTTTTGATAATCGGTTTTATAATAGTTTTGATTATTTTGAAAGAAAATGACAACGTTTAAGTCACACTCACAAACTCAAATCTTCTTATTCCTATATCTCTGTATCCTGATTGAGTAAACCTTTGATATTTCAAACTTATACTGATTGATCTAACAGAATTATTTGCTAGTTTGAAATATCTAATATATACGACACGAATTTGATTATCTATTGAACTATCTGCCACCAGTTAAATATTCTTGAGGATTTGAATCGATGATTCAGTATTTGAACCGACAGTAGGTAGTTCAACGACCACTCCAAATCATGATAATAGGCCCCAGGTTGCAAACGTAAATGGATTAACAAGTTTGAAGCTTACCATTTGGTACATATCTAAAGAACTCCATATTATCTTTGTACCATTTCACGCTATGCACTGTTTCATCCTAGGATATTATAAAATAGCATCTTTATCCGATTACAAAAAGTGTAAAAATATTGAACTGAATCACAAAATGCAACACTTTTTTACTGTACTACAGGGTGTCCCACGAAACATGACAGTTGGTATAAATAGTTTAGAATGTCTTCTTCCATAATTTGATAAGTTTTTTAATACGAATAAGACAATAATAAAAATATCCTAGAGCAAAAGATTTTTTAAACGAAATAAACTGCAAACAGCCTCTAATATCTAATACAGTGTATGGAAGACGACATTCAAAAATATTTATCAACTGTCATGTTTCGTGGGACACCCTGTATATAAAATAACATGTGTTAATTACAAAATAAGTTACTTTATCAATAAAATGTATAATCAAACGAGATTATCTTCTTCATAAATAGGGTTTCCGGCGAAAAGGAAAAATCGTTTCGCTTAATTTTCGCATTTCGTTCGCTCGCAAAAATGCGAAAATTTTCGCCTTTTTCGCGAAATTTCGCTTCAAATAATGCTAAAATTTCGTGAAAAAAATAATGCGAAAATTTCGTAAAAGAAATGCAAAAAATACAGAATTTTTTAAAACAAATGCAAAATTCAAACATTTATTTAAGTAAAGGAAGAGAAACAATTTACATGACATAATCAAAATCAAATATTGAGTTATCAGAGCAGAGAATACCACAAGTTCTTTTGAGCAATTAATTGTTGCACCTATAAAACTCATGGTTTTCACAAAATTTTCGCATTTCGCGAAATCTTTTATTTCAATTTTCCAATCGAACTCTAAAGTGTATATATACATACCTGAACTAGATAATTACATCTGAGGTCTACAGTGTCACCGGGATATGCTACAGTTGGTAGAACCCAATCTTCTAGTACTTGTATACCACCAGTACACACTTAACAAGAAAATTCTACTCAAAGGGAGTGTTCGAAAAAAATGAAAGGGGGTATAAGCTAATGTCGAATCCAATTTGATGGTTATCGCTACTATAATCTTATCAAAACTGCTGCGGTTGTAAGGAGAAAATGAACAAGCAAGACTCATACCGAAGAACGTAGCGTCCATCCAAATTCTTGGAGTTGCAACATTTCGCTCAGATCGTAAATATTTCAATGTAATGTAAAACCAACCATTCAGATATTATAACCTATTATTATCGAACTTAATTCGATGCATTCATATGTAGTTGATATTTCATAATGTTTTTAAATATTTTTTTAAAAAGTAACAAATACTGTTAGGAAATAAAAATAATGATGTAAAAAATCCTAATAGTTCAGAAATAATATAAAATATTTTTTGCTTTTTGTTTCCATCCTCCTCCTGAACTATAACTAAACTAAAATCAAACAATTAAGTCTTACCATTGAAATGAACTATCAAAAGTAGAAGAAAGACGAGCATTTTCCATCCTTCATTTAGTTTCCTTGGCAGGTTTCATATTTCTATCCTATATTTATAGGGTCCCTGAAAGTTTCCATATGTTCTATCCTTTTTAATTGATACTCTTTTTATTTAACATCCTTGATTATTACTTTTTCTCTATCATTCCCTTTAAATCCATGGTTTTGTTTTATGATTAGCCTGGAGGGGCGTATACAGGAAGTTTTGCATGGTATCTTGATCATTTTTTTTTCACTTGCTTTTCGTCTTATTTTACTATAGGTGATATTTGTTACGAATCTGATATATATCACTAATTATTAAATGACAAAAAAAGGTTTATTTTAGATATCAATGACATCATTTACAAAATTTATATAATATAAGAAAGTGATTCTTCTTCTATTGCTTTAACCTATATCAGCAGTATCATAGTTTTTAAAACGGGGGGGGGGGGGCTAGTTTAGCAATCAACGTGCCAGAGCAGAAGCCTTTTTGTTTTTTGTTTCCTGTACTTTTTTTACCCACTGTCAACATTCAATATTTTAGCATTATATCTTAGAAAACCAAAATATCTGTTTTTTATTCCATTTTTTTCTTATTTGAATCCCAAATATAAACGACAGAACAAAATATTTTTTTTATAAAGACCTATACTTGAACCCAAAAGGTTTGTAATCAATTGAAATTTAAATTTAAAAACGATTTTTTATATTTTTAAGATTCACTGATAAAAAAGAAAATCCAATGAAAATGAAAGCATGCAAAGCAACATTAAACAGATAAACATATTATTAGAAGGAGACTAAAGGGGAAGCCCCCCGAATTAAATCCCAAAGACTAAAGTGGCACAAAGCGCTCTAAAATAAAATTTGGCAACGAGAGACAGTATTAGACTGAGAGAGAGTCTAACGGATAAAAAGGTTGTATATACATATATATATATATCTAGGTATATATCTAGGTATGGAAAGGGCCTCTAAGCCTCTGCTACCGGACTCCTGAGCCCGTAATGTTGAGCCGGTACAATCTGAAATGTACAGCTCCGAGAAACTCCCATAGCCAGCAATGAAAATCTTTTTTGCAAAGTCAGTCGCTGAAAAATAAGAATTTAATTGTACTTCGGTATTTTGTGATAAGAATTTAATTGTAATTCGGTATTTTGTGATAAGAATTTAATTGTATTTCGGTATTTTGTGATAAGAATTTAATTGTATTTCGGTATTTTGTGATAAGAATTTAATTGTATTTTGGTATTTTGTGATAAGAATTTAATTGTATTTCGGTATTTTGTGATAAGAATTTAATTGTATTTCGGTATTTTGTGATAAGAATTTAATTGTAAGAAGAGATATCACGTTAGAGAAACATAGCTTCTAAATGATAAAAAAGTATTTTCAGTATATTTGCCTTTCTTTTGCAATTGAAGGAAAGGGACTGACAATGCAAACATTTGTTAATTTAAATTGCACTGCAAACCAAATGAGCACGCTCTCTCACAAAAATCGAGTAGTATTTTGCCAATTACTTCTTTCAAACTTAAACTAGAATCAAGCAAATTGCTTTTTTACCAAAAGCCAAGGCGTTGTGGCACTTTAAAGCCGAGGTTGCCTTTAAATGTGATGACTAAGTTAAGATTTGTCCTAATCCAGCAGAATTTATTGTTTAAAATATCAAAGATCTACGACATCAGATTTCAAAGATTTAGAAAATAGGCTTTGAATCAGAGTTCCTTTACAGGAATTAAGATGAGAAGTGTTTACAAATGACTAGCTAGGGAACTCAGCTTTGCATGGAGACTAAATTTCCGCTGTAAAAGTCAAAAAAATGTTTAACCAAGCTAAAAACGTTTCCTTGGTTCTATCGAGTTCCCCAATCAAAATTTTAGGCAAATCGGTCAAGTGCAGTTTATGAATTATCATCGGAAATCGACATAGATCGTTAATCGGTCAAAATTAAGATTTTCGGGACTAATCATGATAATTTAAGAAGAATGAATTATTTTGAAAAATTGAATAAGACTAATATAATAATTTGCTTGCGAAAAATGCTAGTTTTTTTCGAGTATTATATGGGTTTATTTTGGCGTTAAAACTTGGAGATAATCTAATTTGATATGAAACTGTATATTAAGAATATTTTGATTGATACTGACACAACACGTTGAGTTGTTGTCTTTATTGAGTTATTGGCTTTCTCATCCTCCCTCAGATAGATAGACGGTTAAACGTTGTAAAAATAACATATTCACTCTTAATATCGAGGAGCACTTGACTAGAAATAGAAGTTGCCTTAGCTTATAAATATGTTTTTATTTATTGTTTAGTCCTAAATGTCACATAAAGAGAACTGAAACGTGATATTTTTATCCAGTAAATGGCAACCAGAGAACTTTGGAATATTTTGTCTGAGTTGAGATACAGGCATATTACCAAACTGTTCTAAACAATTAGATAAACTGTAGTTTCAGAAATATCATTTAAATACCAAATATGAATTATATAAAGCCGATGGCTGGCTTGGAAGGGATGGTGGGGGGGATAACGTATACTATTTAACAGAATTCAAAGTTTGAAATATTTCTAAGATCTACTACGTTAGGTTACAAAGAAATATTCTTTACAAGGTGAATAATTTGTGTTACTTAACTTCCAAAATACTTTTTTGTAATCCTGAAACTTCACAAAAAAATACTAAAAGTCCGCAAAAAATATATTTTTGAATTCATCAGCTGTACGAGCAAAAAAGGAAATAAAGCTAAAAGAAAAATTAAGAAAAATAATGAGAAACTACGCCAAAGATAAATATCCAGATTAATCTGGCGGAACAAATTTGAAATTTATCCTTTCTACCCTGTCAATTCTTTGCTATAAGTTAAACACTGGAATAAAGAATTTATTTCTACCACTGATTATACAGTGAAAACCATAAACCTTTGGAAGAGCAAGAATGAAGTGTATTTGATTACTAGATAGCAAAAAGTTTTATAGTAACTTATTAAATCAGTCATTAATTGCAATTGATCTGTTTACATTTTGCAAAATTGTTAGGTCTTATTGGACTATTTAAAGTCATAACTTTAGTCTAAAAGCCGTTTTCCAATTCCAGAGTTTCCTTATTTTTAATGAAATACTTTAAGAGACTAATTTTCGTTATTTGTTGCAAGACTAAAAACTTTTCCAAAATGTGGTATTTTGCATCTAATATTTGATACATATATGGGGTGTTTATCAGGGTGTCTGTATCCAGTAAAAGTCGAAACGCCTGAACCAATCGGGCTCAGGTTTGTTGTGGGAACTCACATGACCCGGGAGCGGGACCCCACATCATCTAAGTAGAGATAAGTCCTTAAATCGGCGCTAAACAGTAAATTGAAATATTTACAATTCTACCATGAAACTACAGTTGATAATGGGGCGTACACGTATTCTATACTTAATCTAAGTTTGGAATAATCCATGATTAAAGGGAGTGTTCTCGAAAAATGAAAGGGGGTATAGGCTTAATGCGATAAAAAAGCGCTTTTGATCGCTACTAATCTTACTTCTATCTGTTGCGTCTATAAGGAGAAAACACCCCCCTCCATTGAGCCAGCCATAAATCCTTGAGGCGTCACATTTAAATTGGTAAAACACACATTGAGACCCTCCTCCCAAACCCTAGAACCCCCCACTCCCCCCTCCCACAGAATAAATCAATGTTCATCCCAATTATTCTCTATCGTGAAGAAACAGAAAAGAATGTTTAACAAATTAAGTTTATTTGATTTCTCGACTTTTAACGTGATTGTCGTCGTAAACTATAGCAGCCCGCCATTGAAAAAGAACAAACCCGATTTACAACTATGTACTCTTGAAACCTTTGCAATTTTACTACTGTTTCCAACAGAAATAGTATGAAAGAAGGTTAAGACGCGCCATGAATTGCTATTGACCTGTTAATGATGAAAACCTTAATGAATGAAGTCGGAAGAAATACTTGCTATAACCCCTTCATTAGCTAAGCCTAGATATCATGCTTTTTATAATTAACAATATTCATAATAATACTAAATATTATGCAAGTTTAAAAACTACAATATCTCATTGTTGAAAAATATTAAAATTAACTGTCCACTCAATACCGTACAAATAGATGTACTTAGGATTAAACCCACTGTACTCTATGATACCAACTCAGTCATAAGGAAACATTTTTCGACAAAATCCACTGTACAGCATAAACCTAGCCAGGCAAAATTAGGAGAGTTATGCCCGCCCCCTGGTATTTATTTCTATATTTACAATTTATCAAATAAAGAAAGATATATTTGTTAGATTGATTTTTAGAAATTTAAGTCATTTATTTTTATATCACAAAAACTGAGGCTTTTTTGATTGCATTATTAAAAAGTAGATTTTTCGTTTATTTACAGGGTGTAAAAAAACGCTGATTTAGTAACCACAGATAGTCCTCATCGAATTTTTATCAGCACTTTGTTTGATTAGGGTCGGGTCTCAAAGGAGGAAATATTCTTTAAAAAGATCTGTTAACGTTTTTTACACCTAAACCTATCGATCTAAAGGGACTGTAAGCATAATTTCAAATTATCCTACATACAAATATAAAAATGTCCGATTTACAACGGTACCTTGATACCTTAGTCTGATCAAAAATGTGGGATGTTTTACGCGAAAAGGGTCCAAATCTGATCTTTCCTCCCTTGCTTCTTTAAGCATGTCAGCAAGAAATGCGTAAGTCACTTCTGCAGAGAAACTGCAAAGGAAAAAAAGATTTTAAAAACATGGATATCTAATTCATTCTTGTTCTAACAAAGCTTAAAGGTTACCGTTGTGAATCGGGTATTCCTATCTTTGCATACAGGGTTAATAGAAATTACGCTGATGGTCCTTTAAGTTAACTAAAAGTTTCCAAAGAAAGGAATTTTGGCGCAGTTGATGTCCAAAAATATTTTGCTGCAAGCAGTGAAATTCATTATATAAACGATGGAGTACATTTTAATTAAAGTTATGATAAGAAGAAAAAAATTTCCCCAATAAACATAATTTTTATCAGAATATTTTTTATCTGTTTTTCTAAC